AAACACACATTTCTTTGCAACAGTTCGATAATGTGTCGGAGCCTTTTGGAAATTTCTGCGAGTCACAGCACAATAATAGATAGCATTTCCTGTAGCAGCAAAAAATGTTCACATTTTAACAATAAATACAACCATGACCCTATATTTACTAGTTTATATATACACAACAGGAAAATCAATATACTATCAACTGTATTCTATTTCAAATGCTGGTGATGAGCAGCGTGTTTAGATTGAAAATATGATACTTCACTGATCCCTGTCAGTGAATCTTCCTTTCAGTTGTCCCCCTGAGGGAGGGTTAAAGATCAGGATGAGCTGAACAGCCAGCAGGAGGAGACCAATGAGGAGCCTGTAACATTTTTTTGGATGACCCCAGCTACGCATAAATGACCCGTCTATCGCCCGCCTCTGCCCACCTGTGCGATGGAGTAGTCCGAGGAGTTGGTGGCCTGCATGCCCTCGTTGCCGCTGATCCCCACTCCGACGTGAGCCGTCTGGATCATCCCCACGTCGTTGGCGCCGTCGCCGATCGCCAGCGTGATGGCCTTCACGTGTTTCTTCACCATATCCACGATCTCAGACTTCTGCAGCGGAGACACTCTGCGGAAACAACGACAGACAGAGACGGTCTATTGTTATAAAATGCACACAGCTGTCCTTGCTGGGGGAAAAGTAGAAGCAGGGAGATGGAGAGATTAAAGAATATCTCGGGGAAGAAGCAAGAAAGCAAGAAATAAACACAACAGGCATTTAGAATAAAGCCTGGGAAACTAAGAGTGGGAAACAGTTGAAAGGGAAAAAAAAAAAAAGATAAATGAGAGGCTGGCAGAAACACACACGCTGCAGCGCTCTGTTTACTGCTCTTCACCAGGTATTAGGAAACAATGATTCACTGTTCTTCTAATAAGATTCTGTGCAGCCCGCTTGTGATGTGTTTATATCGGTGCGTGTGCACTTATATGAGTTTGTGCATGTGCTCAGGGACCTTCCAGTGGTACTCCACCCTCTTGACCTGTATCACTAATCCTCCGTCTATAACCGGTTCTGTCTCCCTCACAATGGAGGACCGGCGGAGGCTCGATTACAGACTCTTCCCCCGAGGCCGCTGGGAGAGGATGGTGAGACGGCACGCTGCTTTTGCTGAAGTACTGCGCATCTGCTTTTTTTTTTATAGTGCCATGTACATCTGCGGACAAATGAGACAGGCTCCATCTAATGCCACGGGTCCTGTTCCCTCTATTGTACAGGTGTTCTGTTTGGCTTGACTAAAGAGGTCTTGGATGTGGTTTTTCCTCCTAATCCTCCGTTTCCTCCCCCACCTGCCATGAAAGAAGCTGTGCAAGCTTTAGGTTTGTGTGGAGCATTTTTTAAAAAAGGAACTATTGTTTGTTCTAGCCCACCTGAATGTGAATAAAACATAAATAACAATTTATGTACACAAATTAAACTCTGAGGATAAAGGCCCGTTCAGTATCCGCTCGGGAAATGTTGGCTGTATCACTTAAGCCCCTTTCAGACATCTGCATTCTTTTCTGTTAATGTGATGGCAACTGAATGTGTTAGTGTCATGTCTGAATGACTCTGGTCACATTTCCAAAAAAAAAAAGTTTGGGCGGCGATCCTACTGGGTCGGCTCTGGTAACGTTTCCGTATCACTTTCATCACGGCACAAGTCTAAACTGCTTTCTGGTGAATTAATGGATGGGCACACACAAGCGACGGCACTTGGAGAAGCTTTTTTTCCACATTTCAGCACCAATATTGATGAAAAAACAAGCCAGAGAGAGCAAGTGACACAGGGTGCTTTCTCATTCACTTTGCCCAGCAGTTTCATATCTATTAAAAACTGAAATGATCATAAAAATAGAACTTTACTGCTATGAAGACAGATCTGGTCAGATTAACGAGGCTCACCACATGCAATCCAGGTTTTGACCGAACATTAGCAGCAGCTTTTGCTTCCAGCTGTTTGAAGGGGTTATTCCTCTGACTTTATTAAATACCTGCAGCGTCAAACAGCAGCAGGATCCATAAAAGCGAGAGAGCTACGTGCTTTTATTTATGCTTGGCACGACAGCAGTAGCTTTATTAGTTTGTTATAAATCTAAATGATCCCTTATGTGGAGACAGGATCAATCAGGGTGTAGTCAGACTGTGTGCTTTTGTTCACATCAGACAGGTGAGCTGTCAGACGGTTTATGAGCTGCAGTTAAACTGTTAAACACTTGCTGTCCTCAGGTTGAGTCGGCCTATTTTTGTTTTACTGTTGGTACAGTAGTAGTTACACTGTCAGCACACGTGGAAAGAATTTTTACTGTTTAGGAAATCATAAATAAACTACGCTATTAGAGATTTTGACAGTTAAATAAGCTCGCTATTAGTTTAGATTTAGTCTTTTGTTTATTGGTGCATTATTATGCGATATATCAGTTGAAGTTCAGCCCAATATTGGGTGTATGCCGACCGAATACAATGCATCTACTGTGGCGCTCTCCATCACTGCATGTCTGAATGAAGCTGTGAGGAACATTGACGTATAAGTGATCCATGTCTGAATTGAGTTTTGAATAGCAGGTTTCTTTTTTTTCCCCAAGACGCTAAGAGATTTATATCTTCTAGAAGAATTTGTATAGTACCACTTTATTTGTATGGTTTAAAGAGAGGTACACCATATCAGGGAATGTTCATGCTTGGTCGCTAGTGATTTTAGAAGGAGGCTGTGTGTGTGGGAAAAATCCACACGCAGTGTTTATGTTCCAAAAAAAAAAAAGCACACTGGACACAACCACTAAGACTGAATTTATCTTCATCTCTGTTTTCAAAACATGCCTTGTATGGGGAGACACTTTCACTGTGCGTCATTCACATGCACATACTGCAGCTTAAGTGTCATTATAACCTGCAACCTGTACAGAGAAAACAAATATGTCTCCAAAGGTGCAGACATGGGAGAAAACTGACACTGGGGTGGAAGCTGCACAACAAAGCGACACATATTTCCCACAGTACAGGACATGTAGCTGTAGAAATATATACGTACAGGAGGAAACAAAAACATTTTACAGTATCTTAGATGGGATACTTGTGTTTTATATAAAATGTGATGTTCAATCTATCACACATTTATACATGAATCTGCCTCATTTGGAGGTACAGTGGGAGTTTTTCAAAGCCAGCTTCTTGAACAGTTAGCAGAAAGCAGCCAATGGCTGCATCACAAGAGATTAACCAGATATTAAATATTTATATTACATTTCCCTGATTATAGTAATTACACAAGCCTCCGTGATGCATTAGGTGATAGTAATTTCAGTATCAACACTGGACTTACAGTGTTGCTAACACATTAAACATTTCCTAGAAAGAGGAGGCGCCACTTTCACAATGGCTCAGCAGACGTGGTGAATTTCTACCATCGGCGCTCTGACAAGGGCAGCGCAATATTAAATCAAGTGCAGCTGCATTAGCCATCACACGCAAACGGAAGACAGTGTGATTCTTTTATAGAGATATGACAAAATCGAATTATGAGCAGCTGTATGACCCTTCATAAACACACACATCCGACCGGAGCCCACAGGTCCTAAAGATGGTCTATCTTCTATGAATATGTAAGTAGGATCATTTCCTGGTCAAGCTGAAATCACAGAGCTGGGTGGTCTTCATACATTAGGCATGTGCAAAAATCACACATGCACAAACATACACACACACCTCTCACACACACACACCCCCCTACCACGGGATACTTGCAGGGAAAAACCTCAGAGAGAGTTTTGGCCTGTGTAGTCGCTGCTGAAGGATGGGATCAACCCCCGCTCTTTGTTTTTCCTGTTTCTGCATCTGAAGTGTGTCTGCCTGTGCGTCTCTCGGCCTCTGACCACAAATCTCTCTTCATCTCTGCCTCTCTGTCTCACTCTACCTTTCCCCTAAACACTGCTAACAGAGTCTGGGATTGTGTAAAGTGGAGCTGGAAAGATGAAAGGCTCCCAGTGCTCTTCACGGTGGAACTGAGCAGAAAATAAGCAGCCGCTAAGTCCTCCTATAAACAAACGCACAGTGAAGTCAGGAACCCAAGCGTACGAGCGCGCTCGACTCCGCCGCCCCCCCCGAGACACACAAACACGCACGCATTCCCACACTTTGAAACATCACACACGTACAGTAGGTGAGAAATAATCTCGCAGACAGACTTTTAAGTCAAAGCTATGTCTCTTTACCCACAGGAACCTTAAAGTGCCGTGGATGGACGTAACCGCTCATTACATGAATCACGTAGAGCAAACGGTTCCCAGCGTAAGGGTCGGGACCTCCCAAGGGGTCATAGGATACATCTAAGGCGTCATGAGTTGATTACAGGGAAGGAAACACGACTAAATTAACTGTACTACTTCTTTTTTTTTTTTGCTCTAATCTTTGCTTTTTTATATATATATCCTGTTTGGTTTTACCTCATCAGGAATGTAGCAATTATTAAAATTAAAGAGTCTGAGCAGCTCGACTGTTGGTTTAAGCATTCCTTGGAGTTAAATTTTTGTTTTGTACTAAGGGGTCACAGGCAAGGGTGTCTATTTGTTTAAGAACCGGAATGCAACTTTGATGCACGCGCACAGTTAAGTTGTTCATTTCTGTTCCTCCAGTGGCGAGTTTACATACATTAGTCAACTCTAACTGACCACACGATCAAAAGTCAGACTGACGGCACGAATAGTTCATAAAGTCAACAAAAAAAAGGGATGTTAACCCTACCATCTAAAGGATTGTGTCCATGTTGTCTCAGAATCTTCTCAGTCTAGTCACACTGCAAGCCAGCAGCCTAATTAAGCCATTTTTGTTGGCTAGAATTAATACAGATAAATGAGCTATACAGGCACAAATAAGGGCTTCCAGTAAGTTTTTTTTTTGTATTATTATTGCCTTTGTAGCTGTTCCAAAAAAAAATGAAAGGATATTTTCCTGCTTTTTTATCTTTACTAGTTAACATACAGCCTAGCGGAAAAATAATTTAATCCACAGTGCAGCTCAAAGGAAACCGGCAGCTACCAGCAACTTTTAAGGTGGAATGTTTTCACGAATCAATGTCAATATGACAACTCTGACCGTTTGTTTTTGTTGGGTCTCCTCCTGTGTTTTAGTGATGGTTGGATCTTCTAGTGCTTAAAAAAAAAAGTATGTTAATTTTAACCAAATTATGCAAATTGTAAATGTTCTGTTTAGTCACTTGGAGAAAAAAGTGGTGGAAGGTTGTTCTAGAGCACTCTGGCAGCACTACACCTATCAGTTACATGCCCATAGAGGTTTGGACCCACAGAACTACAGCATGAAATACAAATATCAACCAAAATCAATGCTTCATTTATGCATTAAAAAGACAAATATGGCAAGCAGCTGTACAAAAAGTCACAATGTAATCATCTAAAACTTGAAAAAAAGACAGTGATTTACTAGCAGGCAAATCTTGGTATGCGTGGAACAAAGCAGTGCAGGTTAATTTGGTCCACGAGAATTAATTTTCATTACCAAGCTTCAGACAAAGAAAGAAAGAAATGGAGAAATTCAGAGAGCAAACGATGCTCAGAGGATATAAAGAGTGAAGGGTACAGGAAAGGAAGCTGGAGGCTGTTTGCAAGGCCTGTGAGACCTGAGTCCGGATATGGCTCGGATATGCAAGGGAGAGTCGATTACCTCCCTCCTGGCTACGCACACACACATGGGCACACACAAACACACACACAGACAGACAAAAGACAAGTGGAAACTCTTTTGTTTAACATCACAGCTGGTGCTGAGTGGAACATGACCAAAGAAGGGAACATGCAGTAAACATTCTATGAACAGAGTGCACTTTGTATCAATGGAAATGTCTAATGGCAACGTGCATATGTGTGTGTGTCGGTGCCCAGTCCAGTGATCCCATCAGCAAGTGAGTCATGACATTTCCATGCAGCGCGGCGTATTACATTACTCCCGCTGTGCAGCAAGACAGGCTTTCATCATCCTCATTCATTTGCTGACCGTGGGCAACCTGCAACCTTTACAAACTGACGCAAACGCAGGTATGCAAGCCTGCGGATGGACACGCACACGTTCTTTCTTAATCATGCACACAAAGGATGAAGAATCAATCTGTGTGTGCATGTAAGTGTTTGTAAGCATTTTTTAGGTGCAGGACTTGAACTTTTAGTTTCATAAAACTTAACGTGTCTTCACAGCACCTTTACCTGAGCAAGACCATCTGTGTCCAAAAAGAATGAAAGAACCACCAACGAGATAGAAGCACGCAGGTATGTTTTCATCTCTTTGTACCTAGAAGTTCTATCGAAGGTATGTGGCGTGCATGTTTAACCCCAGTTATGTAAAAGTGCACAACAGCAAAAAAAAACAAGGGTGTGTGACCTTGCAGGTACAAATGTTGCATTAAAAACTCTTTAGGGAGCCTTAAATTGTCATTGATGCGGATAAACTCTGGGGCTTTCCCACTACAGCACAATGATCCTCCGTATCTGTTAAAGTGTTTATTGTATAGCATGCTTGTTGTCTTGATGGATTCAAATTCCAGACTTTGTCTAGACTTCTGTCAGGTTGATTCGTTTCAGTTTTTTAGTCACAAGACATAAACTTTTCCCACATTGTCATTTCCTATGAGGTGAGGGCGTGTTTTCATGGGATTATTACCTTTTATGCTACTTTTGTGGGATTTAGAAAATTTTACCAGATTTTTTCCAACAGGATGGATTTTCATCAGACAACCCAGACAAACAGGCATCTTATTTTCATTTTGAATTATTCCGTGAGCTACACCGTGGACAATCTTTGATTAATACATTGTGACGGAACCACGAAGGATGACTTAAACAGTAACTACGTTAAAATATTAAAATGCTTAATGAATTCAGCATACCAAACTTTTCCATCCTTTCTGGACCCGACAATAACCTACAATAAACCCTAAGTTTGATTATGTATGTGTATGTGTGGATGACAAATTAGCTTTCTGTACCGGCAGCAGATGACAGCTTTGCAGGACAACGCCAAGTCAAGGAAGGCCTGGCGGAGCTCGAAGGACAGGGCGTATTTCAGCGTCTGGCCATCGATGATCAGCGCCAGCTCGTTTTCTTTCCTCAGAGAGTCGCCGAGGGATGAACAGTGAGCCGTGAGCGTGGCACGAGTAGCCTGCAAGGAAACACAGAAGGGAGCATTTAGGTTTTTATTTAATTTTTTCCATCAAAAAAAAAAAAAAAAATGACTGTAGTCTCCCCTCCTCAAAACAACAAAGCTTTTACAGACAGCCCTCCATCTTGAAGATCTTTTCTGCAGATATCTCAAATTAGCAACACACTCCCACTGCTTAAGCACATATGAGGAAATGCTTAGTTAGCTTACAGTACAAATTCAACCTCTAACCTCACCACGAAGTGCCAACAGTCTTAAATCTGTTCCCTAAGCAATCATGATTCCAAATCTGACACGGAAAATAGCTCTTCTTCTGACCAAATTTTCAGGTTTCATGCTTTTTGCGGCCTCACAAAGTGGTGAAAATGCAAATCAAACACATCAAAACACACAGACCAATTTGTTGAAAGGTCAAAACCACTGCGAGCAAATGGAAGACACATGCTCCTGGTTGCATAGTCGGCTTTCATCTGGGGGAAACAATCTGCTTCTGTGTACACTAAACAATTAAGAATGCCAACATAAAGTCCGCAGTCGCTCGACATCATCACAACATGCTGATGCTATGAGGACCTGAAGGCACGCTCAACCATGTGATCAAATCTTAAATCTTTCCTTTGAAAAACAGCAGAACATCACAGAGACAAAACTAGTGGAAAAAGGGAAGATAGATTAAAGAGAGAGAGGAAAAAAAAAACGAACTTAGTAGCAAGGTAAAATACATCCTTCACATCTAAGTGTGTCTGTGTTTGTTTAAATGCCAGCTCGCCTGCAGGGCAGTTGTTTGGGGCAGTTTTGATGGAGCTCTTGATAATAGAGGAACAGGGATTAATAGAGAAAATAAACAACCGACTGAGATGTAATGAATTCCATGTGGAGAACCAGACACGCTACAAGCCCACAACCAGACATGAACACATGAACACACACGCACACCTGAATTCTTTTTTTTGTGCACTGACTGAAATGATGACTTCCATGAGATCTCCATGTTACCTGTAAGTTTATAGATATGTATTATCAATAAACAATGTTCAAACAGCGACAACTAAGTCCAAACTCTGACTTCTAGGACTTCTTTATACAAAGGAGATCACCAGGTGGATTCGTATTAAAGCCAATTGAAATCACTCAAACACTAAACACATGGAACAGGAATGTTTTATCCATCAATACTGTTTTATCTAACAAACAGCTCACTAACTCTATCTGGGGACAGTTGTGTTAGTTGTACATGTGGAATTCAGCTTATTCTCATAATAAATGAGGATTGACGTGAAGTGAAATGACCAACAACATGACTTGTTTGTGGAAAGACGGGCAGTACAACCAAACACGCAGTGAGCAGCTCCACCAGTATCCCAACTCTGGACGCAAAAATGAACAAAAATCTGGCGCCGTGAAGAATCTTGTCGGTCTCTCACAGTGGGTTATTGGCGGCCGTCTGACCTGAGAGAATCCAGTGACCCACAGAGAGGCGACCCCTCTGTCCACCGAGCAGCATGTGCACAGCGAGCACGCACACACACGCTCTCATATACATGTATGTAACACAATCACATGAACAATGCAGTCTCTCTTCTTCTTGCCAAATAGCGATGCACACATGCGTACCCTCCACACAATTGTCCCTCCTCTTCCCAAAAATTCCCTGCTCTTGTTTTCTCAGCCTGAGGCTGTGTGTTTTTCTTTGTATGCCGGAATTCCTGTTTGCATTCACCTTTTTCCCCAAACAGAGGAAAGGAAAACAAAAACATAATGAAAGGATTAAAGGAGATTACAGGTTGTCAGAGTCCTGAAACTCAAAGGGGCTATGTGTGTGTGTGTGTGCGTGTGTGTAGTGTGTGTGTTTTTATAGAGGAGTGCAACACGTGCATGCATGTATGAGTGTATGTGTTGGCATGTAAATGCACAGGGGGTTGTGTGGGTGTACATGTAGTGCCTGTGCGAGAGATGGGAATCTGTTTGTCATCACCGAATCATAGGAGGTGGAGAAAAGGCCTCTACAGCATAATACAAAGTAAACCTGTATAAAATTCATTAAAAAAAAAATTAAGTATTCAAGCCTTGTAGAAATTTCTGTGTTGGGTTTGATTCTGTAATTATCTCTAAAATACATGTTGCTAGTTTCACATTCAGATTTGGGTTGCACGACAAATGATTGACTACTGACGGTGTAATGTGCGCTTACGCAATAATCACATCGCAACAAGTGTCATAAGCAGATGAACTCGAACACATCAGTCTATACCTTTTTCCCCGCTTGATACAAGAAAACTCACACAGTCGACAAGATAAGTCTGTCTGACACTGCACAACAAAACGAAAGAGAAACAGGAGAGAAAAGGAAGAATAGATTGCAGTTGTGGGAAATATTTCTGCTACAGAAAGGATGGCATTGACCAAAAACAGGTACTCTGCCAGCAGTAGCTTCTAATTCAATTTAAAATTAAAACTAATTTGGTTGACCACTTAAATTGGCAGCACAAAGCTCTGTATGACGAGTGCAAAGCCAGATCTAAATGCCATCGAAAGCAAAAAACTATTTTGAAACCTTTGGCGATGTTACACTGTATGAAAAAGTATTTAAATGAGTTTTTCCATTTAAAAAAAAAAAGTTGTTTTCTATGCAGATACAGCAGTTTACAGAATTACTCCCATCATTATTGTAGAGCGATTAATTGTGTCCAAATAGAGTTATTCAAGTCATCTGGTAAATTTTTATATTGCTACATACTGCAGAAAAAACAAACATTGAATTGAGATTTTTTTCCCCCTCAGTTTACTCAGGGGAATAGAGTAATATCACAGTTAGTATCTGTGTCTGACATTCACCGTAGCACGAACCAGCGTGAATATCAGGTCATGAAGGCACATTCACACCACGGGGTGCTGGTGCACCACAGCAGGGCCAGTCAAAGCTTTAGTGGTGCTTAAGTCAGCCTGAGATAATAACCAGGCTAAGCTTGAGAAGATTGAAAAGGCAACTGAGGTACAAACACTATTTAGATCTTGAAGCTAAAAGGCAGTCACCTGCGGAGCAGCAAGTCCAGACCAAACTGTATCCTCCTGACAAAAGAATGTTGCATAAGCATGGAAAAAAAATGGCTCACAAGGGTCCACTACGATCTGTTAGCACTTTCTCAAAGAGAGAAAAAAAGCATGAGACAAGGAAGAAAAAAATATGCATTATTATGCAGTTTCTCGCTTTCTCACGCTAAATTACCTCCTATTTTTGGAGGCCGTGGAGGAAAAACCGCTTAATTCTTTGATTGCACCACTTACAATATGACAGATCTCATTAGCAAGCATTTCAGGTTCCAAACTAAATGTTTATTTTTCATACGCATCTGGTCTTGAAGAAAGCAGGAACGTTTCAACACACGGACGCACACATATGCACACACTTTGTAGACCATGTTCACAGGCCCCTCAGCATGGAACTTTATCAGGTTTATATTTGGATCACAAAATGGGCAGGGCATGGAGGCGGTTTGAGATATCACAGGTCACCTTCTCTCATTGCATACTTTACCATAAAATGCATACGTACAAACAAATGCACACGTCTATAAATGAACACAGTGAGGACGGGGGAAGTCAAATGCTGATCCATTCCAGGCCACCCGCTCCAGAAACAGCACAATCACTTGTTCCATCATGACAAATGGATATAGGCAGAGTATAAAATATACAACAAAGCACTAAGCAAGATAAATAGGAGAAGGTACAAAAGAAAAGGTGGAAGGCGAGGAGTGTGAACCAGACTTGGAGAAAGGTTGAAAGACACAGAGGAAGCCTCTGAGTGAAAAGAAGGCGGAGGAAGACATGCTCATTTTTGCAGTGCACATTCTGTCACCAGTGAGATTTAATATACCGTTTAATTATCAGACTGTGCATCTGTGCAAACACCCACATCCTCTGCAGCCTGAGCCAGAAATACACACAACAGGCACACATGTGAGAGGCCTGGTGCTCGACACACGATTGGAAAATTTTTTAAAAATGCCAGGACAACAAAGCATGCAAGTCGAGGCACTACACAATGTGTGGGTCTGTGTTTGTGTGTGTGTGTGTGTGTGTGTGTGTGCATACAAATGATTAATGAGCAGAAGAAAGACGCTGTTTGTCTAAGAGTTGTAGTGCGGGCAGCGTGACGAGGACGAGGGGGGAGATGGTGGGAAAGTTAGATGAAATGTATATTCGGAGCTATCTAGCTGATCAGGGTGACCATGTGCCACTGCATCTTGGGTAAACAGGAGAGCATGACCGATTTAGGCCGATGTAGGCAGATATATCGGTATCCACATATATATCATCTGATATGAAAGCTTGTTTTTGAAGAACACATTGCAGAAAAAGAGGTTTGGGGTAAATTAAAAGTGCTGTTTTTCTAGCAGAGTGCTCTCCGACTTCTTTACTTTCAATCCTCTCAGCCCACATGCAGCAAAACATGGAGCTTTACTGTTAATTAGTTTAAGAAATACATTGCTGGAAACCTGCTGCAAAGTTAAAAAACAATGTCCCCATCTTTAACTGTCTCTGATGATGGGCATCACACTTGTTTGCTACGTCACCGAGCTACAAACCACGTAGCTACGCTCATAGTTTGTCAGTTGAGTGGACGCTGACACACGAGCATCGAAGCCTATTCTATACATAATGACATTAATAGGAGTTTAACTAATGTTAATGTTACATGCATAAACTGTTCAGGAAACCAAACTGTTTCAGTCACTACGTTCACAAAAGCTAAAATTTAAAAAAAAGACTGCTTTTCAACAACAATTGCAGGAGAAAAACTGATCAATCTCGATCAATCGTTCAATCGTCATGTGATGCTCTGATGTCATCACTCCAATTAGCGTGCATACTCAATTATGGTAAATCTTGCCAATGAAGAAGACTAGTTGTGAATGACAGGTTCCCTGCTATTACATGCTGTTAAAATGTGACATTTAATGTCTATCGGTTCTAGAAATCAGTTATTAGTCTTTCTTAACGAACAACAACAACAACAACAACAACAATATATATATATATATATAGGTCAATCCCTTATATATATTTAAAAAATGACCAACATATTAACATCTCGCATCATAAAATCAATACGGTATCAGCATCAGCCCTAAAAATCCAGTACCAGCCGGGTTCCTGTAAACAGCATGATGTGTTTGTGTCACATTTAGATTCTGAGACAGAAATAAGAAGACAAAAAAGGGGACTTTACAGTTTTATGCTGCACATTGACTAAACAGAAGAGGTAGAGATTTGTGTCAGTCTGTGTGTGGCATGTGATCTGAAGGTGACAGATGGCGCTTGTCACAGCTTCAGCGGTCGCAAACCGTTTACCCAGGAGGCATTGCTCACAGGGTTTGTTTTGATGAGGAGGAGCACCAAAAGGAGATCACATTACCACTCACTCATCGCCCTCACATGGCTCAGCCAAATCTCCCCCCATGCCTTTCTCTTTCCAGATTGTCTGTCTCATACATGAAGTACAATAAACACTGCCCCTGCTTTATTCACAAACACACTCTTGTGTTTCCACAAAGATAAACACATATTTTGTTGGCTGTTCCCGCTGTTCTTGACTCTCCGTCGGATGCGCGCACATTTTTTCCTCGGGGTGTGTGGTCGCTTCCTGTGCACAGAGATCGCACTGACAGATGTGGAGTGGAAGGAGATGTGGAACCGAGAACCGGCTCAGAACGAGAGGGGTTGCATCTGCTGCCCGAAGTGGAAAAATGTGGGACAAATTTTTAAAAAATGGGAGCAAGAGGTCAAACTCAAGGAGAGTTGTTCATAAGCAGCTTCTGTTTTAACTCCCGTGCAGGTTACACTCTCAAACAGGCCCACATGCATAACCAGGCCGAGCTGACACGGGTTATTTTAAGTGTTGCGCTGAAGATGGTGTGGCTTTCATCTACATCGGTCATAACTGGAGCGCTTTGAAGTCGCCCTGACAGACAAGTGTGACTGACACCTCGCATGAGAGCGTTTCTCCTCTCGTCCAAATTTAAATCCAGATTTTCAACGTATGACTTATTATTCAGCTGTTTATGGGAGCCGTAAACAGGGATGATGATAAAGGATGCCGCCTCGTCTCGTGTTTGCTGCGTTGCATCTCCAGCCACTTGAAAGTGCGCTTGTTCTGCAAACACTCGGAGCACTAAAGCGCACTGTAGATCATGTACTCATCACAACAAAAGGTCCGCTCATGACCCTTCGTTTATGTTTCGTGTTAAGCAGCTGCGCCTCACAGCTTTCCTGTATCAGTGTGTGATCTCCATTTATGACCTGCAGCCAACAAAAATGTGTTCGTACAACCACTTTACAAGAGCCCTTTGAACTATACCAGTTTTTTTTTTTTTAATCGGGAAAATATCTTTTCACTCTGGAGTGAGATGTCACCTTTTGTCTTTTCTCCTCTATACAGGAAAGTTAGAACCAGCCCCCCCTCAGAGCTGCTGAATGTTCAAATGCTTGTTGAAGGACACATCAGCAGGGTGGATGGTCCCCGTTTTAGTGATCTGAGGCCAAGATTTCCAGCTGAAAGATGGATTTCCTACCAAGTTGTTGTAAATTGCTGCTACATTAAATCTATGGAAAGTCTGCATAAGGAAACCGTAAAACTGAATCGCATAGATTCATCTTAAGGATAATTCCAGTCATCATGAGCCATTTCCTTTCAAAAATACCCTGTGGACTTGTACATGCTATTATCAGAGAACTAGCTTTTACCTCATCACTTTCGTTCAGCTCTTGTTGATACAAAGATTCGTCTGAAAAATGTACAATTTCGAAGTTTGCTCGATCAGCTCAGCGACATCAACCCACTACCCTAACCGCAGTCTTATTTTGTTTATACTGCCAGTCCTATCTTTAGACAGCACCTCTCAGCGATGGTTCATGGTTACCTTCCCCTGCCTCATTTCAAGTCACTCAGCTGTACATGAGATTTTTTTTTCCCTGCCTGAAAATAGTTCCGAAGCAAAGGATTAGAAAGTTTTCTTTTCTGGCATGTAGGTGCAAAAAAATCTGACGATAACAAAAACATCTGTCTTATGTGTCATTTATGTTTAGATCCCTGTGGAGCTATTTTCCAAGGAAGATGGGATTAACATTCACTTTGTCTGCAAGTTAGAGTGCAAAGACAAGAATTTCAAATACGTATAAATGGCAGGATGTTATCATAAACGAAGTGAATGTTTCATCCTGTGAGTGAAGCTACGCTGGCCAGACAACAATCACACTGTATTCGATCAAACACAACAGAAAGGCTGCTAGAAAACCAAATTAACATTGACCTGTTTACAGTGTTAACTACATAGGCTTTCACCCTTATATGCTAATTGTATAAGCGACGCTCAGTCTAATGTGCGCTTATTGCTTTAACATTATATGTTCACCCAATTCAACTCAATGTACTCAGCGTCTAAGTGGCTTTGCATGCTTTCTGGCTTTTCACCAGCAGTTCCCAAACTCCGGGAGCCTCCAGACCTTCACTTTGATAAGTGTGAAAGAGCACAATTTCCCAGCCAGCCCTTTTACTAAAATTAGACATAATACGAGAATGCTGATCATGCTGCAGACTAATAAAATTATTCTGCAAGCTCCCTCACAAGCTCCATGTGATGTTCAGCGTAAACATAGATGTGTCTCCATCAAGGTTTAACGCACACTTTGGGCCTACAAACCCGCACTCGCACACATGGCCATAAACAAATACACACAAGCACACACGCGGTGTTTATGCTCAAAATTTATGAGGCATAATCTCCCCACATCTCACATATAAACAAACTCGGTAAAAAAGTGAACACACTGTGATCGTCTGTGTGCGAGCGCGCATGTGGGAGACTGGGAGGCTGTGTGAACGACACAGAGACACATGACAGACGCACAAAGACACATGACAGCAATCAGGCCACTTTAGCAAAGCCGTCACACATGAAACCTGATGCACAGAACACAGAACTGGGGTAAACAAAATCTAATCAAGTGATAAAGAATGTTTCAGATCTCCCCATAATTTGCAATACAAAGAGACTGAACATATATAAAATGAGCTGCTGGCATTAAACTAAAAATAGGTTCGATAAAGAGTGTGAAGGCAATGCGAGGCCACTGAGAGAGGTGACAGTTCAGTGCTTGTCTCATTTCATCCCTTTCTCTAAAGGGGGACACCAGAGACTTTAATTACCTGCACCTGTGAGCACACAAAGAGCCCCACCCACCAATCTGGCGGCGGACCACACCTTAGTTCCCACGGTAACCCGCTCAGGACCCCGCCACATAACCCCTTCTCTCCTGTACGCACACAAAAAGCGGCGACACTGTACGCAGACGTGAATAAGGAGGTCAGCAGGAGGAGGAGGAGGAGGAGGAGGAAGAGGATGGTCTACTCACATCCAGAGAGTCCTCGTTGACGATGATGAGGGACATGCCGTGTGTCACCAGGCGACAGGAGTAACCTGAGAAACAGAAAGGGGGATGGGGATGAGATTACATCTACTCAAACCCAAAACACAGGTGAAAAACTTGTCACAGGCATGAGTGAAATGACAAAATCCTGCCTCACACATAGCAATCTAAACCCGCCTTGTATCCCCGCAGTACTCTGCTATTCACACTTCAACTGTATCACGTACTAATTAAATACAGAAGAAAAAAAAAAAGATAACAGACAATTATTTTAAAGCTAATACAGCTGTGGTGGATCAGGATGTTGGCTAATGCAGGATATCATTTCACTCGCACACAGCTGTGTGAAAAATGAAAAACGGGATCTGCGCGCTGCAGTCTCCGAGGATTTCGCAGCTTTTAAACTAAGAGCGACAAGTGTCTGCTCAGATTTAGTTTTTCCAAGTCTTGTTTTTCTTGGACATCTGCCACCGGCTTCCTCCTCAACTGCCAAGAAACCGAACACGCTCGTGTCACTGCAGTCCCCCCCCCCCGTACCACGGCTACACCGGCCACTGGCACAATTCACTTAGAGAATGGAGGCATGTCAGGCATCTCACAGCCAACATAATGCCTCCTATTCTTCCAGCCATGATTTAATTAACTCCACAACTGCTCCCACTCTTTCGCAGGATTGGCATAAGTGTTATTCAAATGCTTTCCGCTCACCTATGTTGATGGCAGTCTCCTGCTTGTCTCCGGTGAGCACCCAGATCTTGATGTCAGCCCTCATCAGAGTGGCGATTGTTTCTGGCACGCCCGCCTGGAGACGGTCCTCTATAGCTGTAGCACCCAGCAGCATCAAGTTCTGTTGGAGGGACAGAAGAGGAAGAAAGAATTTGACATGTAACCTCCAAAAAGTGAGCAAAAGCCAAAAAAAAAAAAGCGGCACAAACTAGATAACCGTATTTAAGCTACAAGTTCAGCTGGACATCCCAAGCCTGTATGTGAGGACTCTTTCTCTCCGGAGAGCATCATCCACATCTAATTTGAGGATGAGAGCGATGCCAGCAGATTCAATCCAGTTGGTAAAGCACCTCATTTTGAACCTCTGTACCAACTCTGTTTCTTCGTGCCAAGAAGTAACCCATTACCTCCCCCCCACCACCACCTCCCCCTGCTTTAATTTGTTCAGCATTTAAATGCATGTGTACCCTCATTAGACACACTTGGACACACACACAAACAGACACACAAGTTAACACTACTGTGTTGTTGACTCCAGTTTTATGGGGCTTTTGGCAGGCTGGTGCAGGTAATTACCCTTGTGGTCTCCCAGTCAGAGCTCCCCTCCTCCTCCTCATCCTGCTGCTTCCTCTTTTTTTTTGTACCTCCTCACTTACTTTTTCTCACCTCGAATCTCTCCTTGAAATTCTTGGTTTCCACACTTATCACTTCAGCTCTTGACTGAAATCTCCACTATCCTGCAGCTTAATTTTGTCAAAACGTGACGTGCAAAATGCTCTGCCTTCACACAAAGACCAGTATATGTGTTTACATCATGATAAAATACAAATAATTCACACAGTAAAAGGTAAATCTTAACTGTGTAATGCAATTCAGGGATGAGTAATGAAGCGGGACCATAGTTGGCCCCAAGTTTGGAGTCTGTGGAGTCACTCTGCCACCTGCTGGCAACCGAGCAATGTGTGTTTGTCAGCGTGCGAGTTCAATTTCAAACGACTCCATCAGTACATCTATTCAATTTAATGTTTGCTACAAAAAGAAATTTCAGTAAAATAAATTTGTCCACTTCAGAACATTGACCTATCAGTCACTGGGATTGTAAACTATTTATCACAAGGTCCATTTTTTTCTTTTAAAGATATTTTTTGGGGCTTTTCTGCCTTTAATGTATAGGACCGTGAAAGAGGAACACGGGGAGGAGAGTCGAGAAAGGACAGCAGCAAATGAGCCACTGGCTGGAATCGAACTGCAGCCGCTGCGTCAGGGACTATAGCCCCTGTACATGGGTCGCCTGCCCAACCTGTTGAGCTATCCAGGCGCCCACAAGGTCCATTTTTTGACATTTTCGATTACTATTTAGTGATTTTCCATCATAACATAAATAAATACTAACACTACAACAACTCGAACCATGTCGTGATTCCCATGTCAATACTAACCCACATTGTCAAACACAAAATACAGACAACAGCCCAAAAACATACCTTGAAATACACAAAAAGACGTACCTAATTAGATTTTAAGATTCCAGGCTCTTTGTTTTCACCAAGACATGAGGTCAAAAGTCACCATTATATCACGATTGATAAAGGGCGTGCTTACCTTTTCCAGTAGCTCATAAACCTCCTCTAGTTTCTGAGCGCGGTCTTTGAGTACGATGCTGACACGATTGTATTCCTTCAGCCATTCCTGATAAGCCCCTTCTTCCAGGTCCACGTACGCGAAGCACAGCGTCCTCAAACCTGAGAGGAAGGAGGGAGGAGGAGATGATCAAACACTGCCGTCATAGAGGAGAAATAGTTGTTTTCAAGTGTGAATAAACAGTCCAATGCTTTTTTTTTTTTTTTATCGGGAGGCTAAGACGCATAAAGGAGGGAGAAAACCCAGCAAAGGTGGTTCTGATTGATGGTATTTAATTATCAACCAGAGGAAGGACCAAGTGATTCCCAAATTCTAAAGTTGTATGTAAAGTTTTAAGCCAAAGTCTGGTAATAATTCATTCTTAATCCACCCATCCAATGAGACAGACTCATTCTTAATGAAGTATGAAATCCAATAACAGTACATCTATTGGCTACAGGCTAAAGGCTAACTGGTTGGATGTGCTACTGGACATATCCAGTGTAACCTTCTGCTTAACATTGCAGCTAGAAATCTTTCAGGTGATGACTAAGTGAAGTCATGAGTCAATACTGCTGAAGTCAGCATCAGGTTGCAGGATGCTTCTTTGTCATTTTTGTCAAGTTACACCCAATATCATGAAATCTGTGGCTTAAAGCTGGGATAAGCAGTTTTATTTTTTGGCATCATTGCACAAAAAATCCTCAATATCCTCTCGATATATTATAATTTAAGTAATCTAAGAGAAATGTCTGCACCTCCTCCTGGCTCTGTGATGAAGGACTTCATCCAATCACAGAGCCTTTGACATAGATCCCATAAAAGTATAAAAGCAGCAAAGCTCCCTGCTGAAATAGGACGTGACCCAGTGGCATAAACAGAGGCTTCTACTCAGGAGACTGGAGACTGAATCCCATGTGGAGTCATGTGCATATTCCTATGCTTTGCTGGTGGGAGGGACAGCAGGACAGTATTTTCCAAATTCTAGTGTTTTTTTTTTCCAGCATTCTGCCTACTGTAGTTTTAAACCTATATTTCTATAGTTCTTATGCGTGAAAAAAAATAAAAAATATGGGCAAACCAAAGCTAGAGATGAGCTCATGCGATTACATAAAGTGAATCGGTACTGAAATAAACAGAGAGAAAGACAGATATTCACCAAACAGTGTCGGATCCCTTCTTTTTCCTTCTTACCTTCAGTGGCAAACTGTTCCAGATGAGCAACAGTTAAGTCTTTGTACTGAGACGCCTCCGTCAGGCGGTCAAAAATAACATTATCCTGCAAGAAAAAGAAGAAAAAAGAAATTCGGCATGCAATGAAAAATACGGCAGGATGTTTGGAGGGTTGACTAATGCTGATGATGAGATAAACATACAGCTCCTTTGCAGTACAGCCGTAGCTTCCCGCTGGGCGTCCTGACCACCACAGACATGCGTTTGCGGTTACTGTGAAGAAATCGGTGGATTTAGTTTCAACACGCAACAGTCATCTTTCAAAAGGTTATTTACTGGCTGAGAAGAGCATTAACGAGGAGGATTACCTGGAAAACTCCAGTACATTTAGGAGTTCATAGCTCATCTCTTTTCCTCTCTGAAATACACAGAAAAAAAACGTCAACTCCAGCCCCAAAAAGCAGCTGTGATTCCAGAGAAATGTGTGCACTTACGGCGTCAATGATGACTGAGTGTGGGGTCCGAGCAGTGAAGACGAAGCCGAGGCCTTTGGCTCCTTTGACCAGCGCGCCTTCGTCAGGCGAGGAGGCCTGGTAGATGATCTGGTTTTCCTCCCTCTCTGGTACCACCGTGTGGCAAACCGCCATCATTGTCAGGAACTCGCAGATCTGAGGTGACGTAGGCTGAACACACACATACAACCAGAGTGGATGTTGTTTTAAACAGCTGCCTCCAATAGCTTCAAATAGAGAATCTGGAAGAAGCCTCTGAGACACCTACATGATCCTTTTCAATGTTTTGAATGAGAGTTGGGTCGTCGAACTCTGTGGAGTTGTTGCTGCTGGACGGAAGATTGCTGCGAGGCAAAAAACAACACATGAGAGGACTTATCTTGAGCAGAAAACAAAATCGTGGAGTTTAAATACAATTGCAAGCTGAAATAGACACAGTTTGTCTATGACTCTAAGGAAATTCATTTCAGAAAACATGCAAAGCCGAACATGAACAAAAATCTATTAGAAAAGGATAGGCAGATGAGAAGAGCGGCGGTCACTAACCTGAAGTCCTCCATTGAACGATCACAGTCAAGATCAGGGAAGTGGCTGCAGTTATGCATGAGGTTGAATTGCAGAAGGAATTAGGTCATTGGAGCAGGCATGCAAGAGTTGAATCAACTGAACAAGAGCTAATCAGTTAGTCTGAAATATGAATTAGTTGAACAGTAAGTGTATCTGGTGGAAGTCTGAGCACTTTTAGTGGGATGCTAAGAACTAAAAGGTAAGAAATATTTTTTTAAAAAGAGATGACTGACCCGTATGTAATTCCTGCAATGGTGCACTTCTTAAAGTGCATGACGTTACAGGTGAGAGTTCCTGTCTTGTCAGAAAACAGGTACTTCACCTGGAAAATACAAAGATGGTCAGCAAATACACAGGTAGCACTGTTTTCTAATCTATATTCAGTGATTAAGTGGAGTGTTAGGAACCGACCTGGCCCAGTTCCTCATTAAGATTGGATGTTCGAGCCATTGCCGGCGTGTCCGTCTCTGAGTAGTACATCTCCACATCCTGGGGAAAAAAACATAACACAACCAAAGCCATCATGAATATTTGACCAGTTGCACTTTATACATATGTGCATTACAAAATGGAGATGCTTCGTACCCAGTTGATGAAGAGCGCCTGCGTGAACTTAACCACCTCCAGAGTGACCAGCAGGCTGATGGGGATCAGGTTGTTGTACAGGATGATAAACGTCAGCAGGTTATACGCAAAGTTTGTGGAGATGTCACCTGATGTCAGACACACACAAAATTCACTTATTTAGTATCCATCAACTGTGTATACATGCAAATGCTTCTTTACCATTGTACTTAAGCTGCAGGTCAGGAAGTGTGGTGTATTTTTACATGTTCTTACCGGCTCGTGACAGGTACCAGCAGGCGTCTTCTGTGTGTTCTTTGTTCCAGATGGCAGCGCCCACAGAGCTGACCAGCGCCATGACCAGCAGGATGCCAAACAGGACGAGGATCTGCATGTTGGTGACCCGCTCCACATTAGAACGCTTCAGCGGCGCCTTGGTGGAGTTCTAGGAGGTGAAACAAGCGAGAAATAAACACCGTTTAAATGAGTTGCAATGCTGTCTCTGTAGGGGGAAAAAAGCCCAGCCGTAGAACCTTTAATCTCTTCCTTTTAACTAATTTAATTAGTCATAGTCATTTGTCAGTTAGACAAACAGTTACACAAATTTGTTATTAAAAAGATTTCCATCAGTGTGCGTGGATTACAATGTGTGAGCGATCCAAACACAAAAAAAGCCCTGGGACTGAAGAATATTTCCTCCTCGGGTTGGATGCGCTCCCAGTTATGAATGTGTCACAGAGTGCAGTTAATTAACGTCTCTTAACTTGTACAATAAGGGTTACAAAGAAGAAGGGCTTTTAATTATAAAACAATAGGAAATTCACTGCCAAATGGCTCATTCTGTTCAACATTAGAAGCAAGGATTTTCATGCATCATACACAGTGTACTGGCTTAAGAACAAACACTGGGTTTACCTGCATCAGCTTGGAGTCATGGCCGGTGTAGACGATGATTCCTACAACCCACTGGGTGTTCCTGAGCTGAGCGCCGCGCAGCAACACCTGGTCTGGACCCAGAGGAGCTGGACTGAGGAAAAAGAGAGGTGATAAGCTGGTAAATAGAGGTAGATTTCTGAAGTTTAGATTTATTTTATACATGGGGTTTTACATGGGCAATAGCGCTGTGTTTCAGTCTATGATGACTAAACTTTGCAGTTAATCCATGATTCACATGCATGAACCAGTTCATTGCACCACTAACTGCTACTGTTATCAAAGTGTTGAAAAAGTGTGTGTGTGGCTCACATCTGGTTCTCTAGCCGCAGAGTGCCGTTGAAGTCATACAGGTGTCTGTTGGGGCCTTCGCACTCCAAACAGCCGGACATCGCCATCAAATCCTCCAGAGTCTGAAGTCCGGCTGTGAGTGAGAGACCCTGGAGAAAACACAGTTAACGATGAGTAAAGTGAAGGAAGGTTTATTGAGGGAGCACATCATTGGAAAGCAACGTTCATAAACACAAATCAGACCAAAACCAGAGCTACAAAGACAGCAAAAAGTACAAGAAACACAATCAGGATGGAAAGCCCAACTGAGTGCAGAATCCATGCACTGAGAAATCTGGTAAGCAGAGTTTTTGTACCTGTCTGATCTTCAGGTTGGTTTCTCCATCCAGGTTAGAGGTCTCAGTGTAACACATGGCCTGTGGCTCACTGTGGAGACAAAGGCAGAGCTGAAAATGACTGTTTCATCAATTTACAGTGGAAACCAATCAATGACAGCTTAGAATATGAAATAATCAATTTAGGGAATTATTTTAAAATACTTATGTGCAATCATTACAGTTATTAGTATGAAGCATTTGCAAGTTAGCGCTTCCTGCATAAGAACATTTGCTTGATTTACGTCATTTCAAACCATTTCAAATTGAGCGTTTTAGATATTTTTTTGGACTATTGACCAATTTTAACATAAAACTTTGTGCACCAGTAATTTAAAGTAAGACTTCATCATTGTTTTTCCATTTTAAATGAAAATCAGTTATCAAAATTAAAAGTAAATTGTTTTCCATTCGTATAAATAATGATTAGTGGCAGCCCTTAAAAGTAGTGTGAGACAAACGATTAGAGTACACTGTTCATTGTTAAGGGACACTTATTACGAGACAAACTCACACAAATTTATGTACAAGCACACACACACGCACACACACAACAGAGTCTGACCTGGAGGACACTATAACCATGTCAGCTGGAAGGTGCTGGCCATTGGTCACCTTCACTATGTCGCCTACTGCCACCTTGTGGGCAGGATGCAGCAGTGTAACAGCATGAGGGAAGAGAACAGGTGGGACGAAAGGAAAAGAGGGGCGTTAGGGCAAACGGGGGTTGGAGGGGTGAGAGAGGGCAAAAGAGAGAGGTAATAACAGGCAGGTTAATCAGTGACCAGCAAGGATGCAGCCAACAGAGAGAAACCTGAGATAAGAAGACAGTGAACACAGCAGTGCATTTAACCGCTCTGATGAAGCTGGAACAGAGATAGAGCAGAGTAAGACACTAAGATTGTAAGAATGCAGATATGAGAGAGAAGGAGAAGAGCAAAAATGTGTTCACAGTTCAACTCAGTTCAAGGACAGATGGTACAGTGTTGCAGCCAATCTAAAAAAACAATAAAATGTATTACTAAGCAGTAGCTTTTAAAAAGACACTTTTCAAAAACTGAGAGAAAATGTTACTTAAGACTGAAGAAAGATCGTCTGAGAAAACGGAAAAATTCTTTGTGAAGGCAAAACCTTTCCCTGAATTATCCAGTTCCAAAGAAAGAAATATATTTGATAACTTCAGTAAACTGACACCTGGGAAAGCATGTGGAGTTGGCTTTATCAGAACGGACAAATTAAAGCACAGAAAGTATACCACTAGATGTTCAGGTTTTCAGAAACTTGTTTTCCCAGTACACAGGAGGTGGAGAAAGGTCAATTCTAAATAAAATAACCCAATTCTGGGAATAATAACTGCAGCGATATCGATTCCTAAACACAGCTCTTCATTCTGGGACCTTTTTCGAGGCCAACTGAGCGCTACACCACTGATCCTACACCATGGAATGAATAATCATGTATGAGGCACAAGGAGATTTTTTTGTGTTTTCCAATGAAGGAAAAAAAAAAATGCCTTTGATGGCAATTAATAGGAGGAATTTCAAAAATCATAATGAGTTTTACAGCACAAAAAAAGCCTAAATATGAAATTAGTGCAGAACTGAAAGCTTCTTACAAGGTTAAAGCAGAAAATGAAGCATTCCAGGAGGACTACATGTTCCCACTTGTCATCAACAGAGACATTAATGAGTTCGAAGGAAGCTGGAACAAATTCCTTCACCTGTCATGACACTGAGCAACAAAGGGGATTAATTCCTTGCAATACACGCTTGTCACTTGCATAACAGTGACTGAAATTTGATTTGATTTGACCTGCTGGAGCAAAGCTGTACACAGCTGGACTGCCCGGATCTGAAGAAAACGGATACGCATTTGATATTGGAAACACTGCACAAAAATGGCACTCCAAAAAAAACTAATGAATTAAAACAAAGGCATTCATCTAGCTCAGGTTACTTTACTTTAGCAGAGATTATATTAGAAGGAAAAGTGTTGCTCAAGGGGTTTATTCACTCACTGAACTGAGAAAATCTAACTTCTCATCATACAGAACATTGCTGTTTGAAATTTTGGACAAATTGGGCCCAAAACGACACACACTTGTTATCTCACAAGAAAACATTAACATCTGCTGGACACATCTTTCTTTACTGTCGAGGATCCAAAGCACAGACAGACTCTGATTCAACACAGACTGAGTTAAAAAAGGACACAAAAAATCCTGGAAACCAAACCAGGTGAAAATATGTTCTCGCTGCACAACAGGTGAGATGGAGACAGAACACGGATCTATAAACCAAGATTAAGAAAGCATTATTTTTCTCTTACAACAACATAACCCTGACTTACTGATCGTGTCAACGTCATTTTATTGTCTTGTTTTTACAGTATTTCCCTCCTAACTGCATAATGTTTTGGTACATTATTATCTGGATGTTTTGCCTTTATTTGATTTAGTCTCATTTGCATATTTAATTACTAATAAGGAAGTGCATCTTTAATCTTGCACTCTCTACTTCTTTCAGAATCATTTTATGCCACTGGTACCAATAAAATATAGTAACCCGAGTAATAAAACTGACAGGAAGAGAGAAAGTGAAAGCACAGGAGTGAGTGACAGAGCACCAGAGGAGAAGTATGTGATGATAGTGATACCTGTTTCCAGATAATCGTCTGCCAAGCTCCGTTCCGCAGCACTGAGAGACAAGGACAACACGGCCATCAGTCAGCCTATAGAGCAGCTCTCATACAGTATTCATAGCCACTAAACTTTTGTCTGCGGCAGTTTCGCTTGCACCATAATGAGTGACACACAACAGCCATTCATCCAGCCATGAAAGGAAAACAAAGCCCTCGCAAATAGACGCAAGCGAACCCATGGAAAACCTCACAGACAGTTGATGCACATTAACAAGCGCGCACACACACACACACACACGTTACCTGTTGTCTTCTTCTTGTTGACCGTGTTGTCTGCTTTATGCCTTTTCTGTAATGAGCACAAATGACGATTAATCAGCTTTTAAAGAGCCCATATTGTACACATATACAGGTTCTCAGTTTTATGTTTTAAATACACTAGAATATATTTTCACGCTTTATTATTCAAAAGCACATTGTTTCTACTGTATGCACTGCAGCACCTGTTTTCACCATCTGGCTGAAACGCTCTGTTTTACTCTCAGTCACTTTAAGGCTTGGTCAATGCTGATTGGTCAGCTGGCTTGGCAAATGAGAAGTAATGTTGGTTATGTATGAATAATATATGGATGCAGACCTTGTAGAAGTGTCTCTTTTGAGGCAATAATAGTGGACTGCAAGGACGCTGGTCACTCTTTCTTTGAGGCTAAGGTTGCCAATAACAATGATTCATCTATTGACTATTTTACCAATTAGTGGCTTAATCTGAACCATGATTTTCAAAAAAAAAAAAAATCCAAACGACTATTTAATTTAAGCCTTTTTTATTTTGACAAACTGTGTGTCATTGTACAATGCTACGCAGTATGAAACAAAGGTGAAAATATATGAAAGTGCAAAACTGTGGAGTTAAACTGGAAACTCCAACATGACAGAAATAGATAAATAAATCGGTCTCATTATTGGGTAAGTTGCACAACTCTAAAAGAAATCCAAGTTTCTATAAAGCGAAGACAAATCTCAGATTGTAATTGCAGTTGGCCAATGACTGGAGCCAAAAACAACATTATGATAGAACAATTAGGCAGTGATGCTGAAAAAAATAAGTTGTAATGATCTGAAGCAAATAAAAAAAAAGAAAGAAAAGAAACAGACGGTGAAAAATATTGATGCCGCCACATTTTCAGCACCGACATTACTGTATTGATTATGCCGACTAATTACGGAAGCTGTATTTGAGACGTGCAACACTAGTCCCAAGGCAGCTGGTATACAAATGTGTTACACAATGACTTAAATAAATAATGCAGGAAAAGCCTGGACTGCAAACAAGGCGTTTCAGTCAGGTAAGGAGCAGTGTTTTCTGTGGGAGAGAATAACTCCCTTTGGCATGGACTGTGGGCTTTGTAACTTTGCAGACCTTTAACACACACATAAAAACCTAAAACACACTAAACAGGACGCAAAAACCCAAAAAGCATAGCATGAGTTCTTTAAGATTACAACTGGATGGCTCTTGCGCCAACTTAAAACATTTAAAATGAATTAAAAGCTCAAAACCACTTCAGACAATTTTGAAAAGACAGCTGTGGTACTCACATAGTCCTCTATGATCTCTTTGATCCCGGCCACCGTGAGGATGAAGATGAGGGGGACCAGTGTGGTGTAGCGACCGGTCGGTGATACATCAGGGATTTGCTGATTGGAAACAAGAGATGCAACACTCAGAAATCACTGCTGATAGAGTGGGTTGAGTAGCTGAAAGCATCTATAATGCACCATCAGAGTGATGGCAGTGATAAATCAGTTGTTTATGCATTAGGCTGCTGCACGCTTTTGAGCATAACTTGTTTAGTTTGCAAACTGATAGCGAGGAAAGAGATGCAGGAACGGACGTTGTTCTCAACATCCCAATATCCCTTAATTTCAAAACAAACAAAGAAGTGGAGAATGATGAGTGTATGATAAGGTAGCACCACTTTCTATGAGAATCATACAAAATAAGACAACAAGACAAGTCCTGCTCTTTTCCGACCATCCTTGAAAAACCCAACGTTGTCAATCAGTCAGGTGGCGACTTCGGCATGGGATTTGTATCTGTCTCCTCAAATCACGTTTCTTCTTCAATTTGTATTTTTTTTTGGTTTAGAAAAGTTGCCATAGGACCATATATGTTGTGAGGACAATTCATTATAGACATGCACTGAATTATAAATGATGGCATATGCTTGTAAAGTAACCCATTTGTACAACATTCATCATTTATATTTACATGAATATTTATTAATTTTATTCAATCCCCTCTGGGTTTCTGACAACATTTACCAAAAGTTAACTTTTGCCATCTCGAGAGCAACTCCCAAAATTCATAATACAGTATTTCAGGAGGAGCTTGGCCTGTGAAAATCACTAATGAACAATTCATCAAACTATAACTGGAATTGCAATGTGGACAAGTGTAATATCCAAATCAGAGGAGATGCAATTTTTTGGGTAAAAGTAAAATGCCACACCCTTTTAAATGAAGCATTTTGGTTCTACAGAGATGCCCCGATCTATAAATCATATTCTCCAGACATTAGGGAACATGTTTTGTGCGGAAGGCGGCAAAAAAAACCCACAACATCAATTTAAAAATGTTTTTTTAAGAGAGAGAGAGAGAGAGAGAGAAAAAAAAAAAGCAAAATATCCCATTAAAATCGCAACCCTGCATACGGTTCACCTCTGGTGCAAAAAATCCTGGAATATTTTAAAACAGACTTTGCAGGATGCATGATTTAAAGCCCGCGTAGGCCAGAGAATCCAACTGAAACCAAACAAACAGCACACTGAGCCAAGAGCGCTGGCAGCTGTTGTTGTGCGTGGGGTTTACCTGCATGAGTGCGATGAACAGGAAGAAGGCATTGGCAGCCCGTCTGATCTGCTCATACAGGAACCGGGGCAGGAACGTGAGAACCCCATACTTGGTGGTGCTGCAGAAACAGACAGAGAGAGAGAAGAGACTTTACACTTTGTTTATGTCCAGGCAGATGGAGGATGGACTCATGCAATCCATTAGCAAAAGTAGGAATTCATGCATAAATTGTGCGCTAATGATTTCTAAACCCGACAGGCTCGAGCGGCATTACCTTAAAGGCTGAATAACAAAGAGGACCCATTTGGTTATATTGCAGCACTTGAAAATCTATTAGAAACACTTGATTGTGCTCAGAGAGGGCAAAAAGAGCCACTATGGGCTGCACACGCATCACGTCTATAAATAGAGCAGGATGTTTAAATCCAACGTTACAAATTTAGACCCAGAACCCCAAAAAATAGGTGCAAGAAACCTTGGCAACCTGTCAGTCAATGGTATCGATCAGACAAATGCATTGATTAGCCTTGTTGTACCCAGGAGCTACAGTAAGAGCTTTTAGAGGAGCTAAAAATAAAAAGTCAACCTTCAAATCAAGGCCTGGCTTTTTTTTTCTTCTTCTTTTTTTCCCCCCGTGTCGCCTGAGTGGCGAGTAAGAGCTCCTGCAAGGGCTTTTGTTTAATGGACAGTGCATGTTTGTGTGCGTGAGTGAACAGAGTGCACGCAACATGATTCACAACATCCTAGGAGATGAACCCACAACCGCCTTTTCCGTCCGTCTTACTCACACATATGAGAAGTGCAAAGAGCAGGGCATTACACAAAAAAGAAAAGAAGCAACAGCTGTTCGTGTGTCGCACAGACACACAGTATCCTGACCCTGATGCTCTGGATACCCCAGAGTTAGTGATACTACACCTATGATCCAACAGATAACGTTCCTTTCATCTAATTAAAGACAAGTGATACCAGATTCCGAAAACAGCGACACACATTTCCAACTAGAACAAGGAAAAAAAAAAGAAGTCCAAAACATCTGGTTGTGTTATTTTTCATAGTATAGATATCCAGCTTGCTTAACAGCTGCTAGCTGCAGGGATGAAGCTCTCCTGCCGCTGTGTGGCTTTGTCGTGTTTTTATAAAAAACAGAACGTGTTCTTCATACATTAAAAGCCAACAAAATAAAACACTGAGCGAAAGTCGATCAAGACTCTAAGCAGAAGAAAACAGGCAGGTGTGTTGTTCTCGGAATAGGTTGAGCAGGTTACTTTGCATTTAACGCTCCCGTTGTATAAAAACACCCACCGACATTAAAATATTAAAGTAGAGGATCTGGGAGATGGAGAAGAGGTGAGCTGAGTATACAGATAAAAGCTACAAGGCTTTAATCTTCAAGAAAATCAATGAAGCTATTGAACCTTTAAAACACAAACTAAAGAGTTACAGGAAAGCAGGGACTTTAGAGGGCATGTCTCTGGAGCCTGAGAGCTCCTCAATCGCCAATCAGGAGGCAGCAGGTTGCAGAAGACCACGTTTGAGCCAATCGGACGAGCCCAGGGAGAACCCGCCTTAATCTGATCTGGAGAGTTGAAATTGTCTTTTAACGGTGAAACTGAATCTGCTGACAATAATGGCAAGATGGCACAATGTCAACAGACTAACAACAAGCTGACTGAACATGAGCCCTGTGGTCCCTGTGGCGCCGAGCACAGTTAGGACATAAAAATAGGGACAATATTAGGTAAAGATTAAGAGACAAATTACAGTGGCGCCTGTCTGGATCAAACTTTAATACTATTTGATGTGCTATGACTTGATGACAGCTGGGGCGATGTTGATAACAGAGATTCTTCTCTGTTTGACCCTGACCATGACCCTGCGTGGGACAGATTGCTACACAGTCAGGAAATCCACAGAGACACACCGGCACAATATTTGAAATGTCCAAGATTTGTAGCCCACTTCTTCTTAGCTGTTCAAACCAGTGAAGGTCATAGCTGAGAGAATCACACTTTACAGCCTTTGACTGAGTCCTGAGGAATCAGATCAGACAGCTTCTACCTTCAGTGAAATCCAGCGACAGTCGCGCCACAATGATTCCTCGAAATGTCTCGAACTGAACACACCTTTGACCAAACAGTTCAGTCGCTGTTTATAATTTACGAACACACATGCAAGTGTAGTTACTTCCCTTTCATTGGCAGCTTGAAATATTCATGAAGACGTATTGATTAAGCACCAGTCGTGTTACGTTGTCAAGCCAAACACTTGAAATTCTCACATTAGCCTCCAGCCTTTGGGAGCTGCAAATAATCACCTAATAGGTGAGTTATTACGGCGCCTTATCCATAGATTTTCAACTTTAAAGCTGCAGTCTTTTCTTTTTCTTTTCTTTTTTTTGTAGAAACACAAAATTTTCCGCTTTGAGTGATTGTGATTTAATTAAAAATGAAAGGTGCTTAACAGGGAAAGAAATCTCAGCGGTCCAAAGTCTACTTGTCACTGAGCGTACTAGAAAAACATACAAACAGGCTGAAAGAGTCCGTCCTTCAACCTGCTTTTGTGGGTGTAAAGCCCCTGTGAGTAAATATTCACAATGTTGGTGTGTCCTTCAGCACGACAACAAACCCCTTGAACAAGCCGAGGAAATCAGGTTGGCCAAGTCAGTGAAATGTGGAGAATCTTTCCTGATTTTAAAGTGTCTTTTTATTTCTTTCCATAATACTTTTTACCTTATCAAAGTCTGTTTTGGTTTTATACACCATGTTGTGCTTTAAAACAGCATGATTTCATGACTTGTGAAGCACTTTTAAATTGTGAAAAGTGCTCTAGAAATAAGGGTTTATATTATTACCTACAAACTGCAGGCTGCAGGAGGGAAAAAAGGCAATTTCTTAGAATGTAGGTCTAGTAAAGATGGGTCATGCATCACTGCGTAAAGACAAAACTATTTCTATCACAACTCTTGATGTGCAGGTAAATTAGTTGCTCTGCTGGCTGCTCATCAGGATTCAATGTACAATCAAATCTGTTAAATACATTTGTTTTTTTTTGTAAATCAATGCATTCACCACACAGCATGCAAGTCAGACGTCCAGCAGTGACACCGACCTGACGTGGTTGTCGCAGAACTTGGTGGTCTGTGGCCGGTTGAGCAGCACCGTCCGCGCCGTGGCGTCTACGGGATCCGCCTGGGAAGTGGTCCCGGACATCTCATCATCTGCCTTGCGGTAACCGGCGGACGAGCAAGCGGGTCCTGCACCGTTGGATTGATGGGAGAGAGGCGAGGCTGTGAGTGCGAGTGGGAGACAGAGGCAGAGAGAGAGAGAGAGAGAGAGAGAGAGAGAGAGACAGAGGGGGGAGATAGAGAGAGAGAGCGAGGGAGAGGGAGACAGAGACATAGACGGGAGACGTGGTTTACAGTTCAAAAGGTCCAATTAGTGCTAGAGGATACTGTATGCTGATGCGAGCCGGTTGGGTGGGTTCAGTGACGTTATGAACACCCCCCGCCGCCCTGCTCTTCAATGCACACACGCGCGACGCCCACGGGACCCCCCGCGTAATAATGGATGTGCTGAGGGATGCACAATGGCGAACAAACGCACCGGGTTCGTCTGTTTTATCAGCACTTGTTCATATGCAGCCCCGCACAGAGCAGAGAATATTAAGATAAAGGCGCCAAAGTGACCGAAGAGGACGCCTCTCCTCCCGCAGACACCCCCCTCCTGCCTCCCTGCCTGCCCGCCCCGGCTTTGTCGTCTCCAACCGTTTTAACGCGTCGTGATCTGCGCCTCCTTCATCCCCGCACGAGCGGCTCCTGCAGCCGGACACTTTTCACCAGCAAACTCGCGGTTCTGCTTGTGCGGACAAATGCAAACAGGTCTCGGATGCCACAGTTTACTCAGCTGCTACAACAAAACGGCGGACCTGGGCGAGGACAGATGCAGCAACAGCAGCAGCGGCGGCGGTGCGTCCGAGCCTCCTCTCCCCTCCTTCGGCTTCGGTAAAGAGGAAGCTCCCGGCCCCGGTGGAAGATACTGGCCCGGTAAGCTCCGCCGCCGTGTCATCTGGACACCTGCCGCCTCGGGAAGCCTTTATCCGGCGCGTTTCGGACGATCTCCTCCCTTCCCAGCTGCTTACGGTTACCAGCTCAGACAACGAGGGGAAGCCATATGGAGCTCCTTCAGTGCTGCGGAGAGGCAAAGCCGGGGCTCCGCTTTTAAAGGGCCAGAAGCCTGATATCGCCTCAGGTCTTGTGGTCACAGGCACAGATGGGTCAAATGACATCCGTGAGGCAGGAGCCATGCATCAGGAGATCACTTTAAAGTCGCTGCCCCTTCAACTGTGATGCCTCTGCAGCAGCACCGTTCACTTCCTACAGGTTTCTGCACTTTATCATTAACTCGTGCTAAGATCCATGTGCCATATTGCATCTCCAGCATTGCAAAACCTAAGATTGCATAGATTTTGTAAAACTACAGGTAGGCATTCTCAAAGTCATGTCAATGTTCTGCTACAGATCCCACAACTCCTTAAAAGATCAGCTGTAAATATGCAACCAGACCCCGAATGCATCACTCACCCAAAGAGTTATTAGGAGATCATGTTTGGGGTATCATTTCATGTGATCTGTGCCCTGTGTCTCTGTCTGTGGGTGAGTCTGTAAGTGAAAACAACAGCAGGCTAATTGCATAAATAATTTAAAAAAGAATAAGCACTGGCAGGGTTCCGCAGATTGAATTTCCACAGTCCTGAAACTCTATTTCTGCGGCGCTACAGTCCTACTATGGACGGGTCATTCTCTCCCCACATCAATAACCAAAACTGGGTTAACATCGACATATTTCCACTCAAGCGCGTTGTTCCAAAGCAGACGAGAAATTGTAAAATTACCCAGAAGTAAGCCAGACAGGCTCGGATCATCCCTGCTGGCACATCAGGCGCTTTTCCATTTTAGGAGACATTAAGTTGTGTGTTTACAGGAAACAGCTACTGAGGAGGTATTTCTTTAGGTTTTTGCAATTATACTTCATGCCCGCTCCTCTTTCTACCTCTGCAAAAGAAGCCCGCTTGACATTGCCAGTCCGCATAGAGTCTGCACAAAGGCATAGGGCAAGGGTCAAAGTCTATCCGAGCAAACTGATAATGAACAGCCTATCTCCCAACCCTGTACCTCTGACCAGGCTATTACCTCGGCAGCATACAGAGCTATAAGTCGCAATCACAGCGCAGCAGTCCACACTGTAAATAGCACCAGGGTCAATCAAGATAGCGAAGGATTGTACGGAAATGATTAAGGATGATAAAATGATAAAAGGGTAGTAAAGGGCAATGTATGCAAACTGTAATGTCATCTTCTTCACTGTCACCTCTCTCATCATACTTTTCTCTCCTTGTTGTTCATTTCTGTGCTTATAGAAATACTTTCCCTGCCATACTTTCACTTTTTAACCCCCGTAGACTTTACCTTTTCCAAGAAGATCAATACTGGCTTTCTCAGCAGCCCACTTCGGCTCTAATTCATTTCTGGGGAGATCAATGCCTCGGTTACTCATCTCTGATGGAGTAGAAGCGCAGTCACCTCCGTAACTCATTACTGATGCACCACTGATGAGTCAGCAGCAAAAAAAAAAAAAAAAAAAAACCCCAGCAGAGCACAGCCAGGTCAATTACACATGAAGCACCCAAGATAGCCAGACAGGTCTGATAACCTGCAGCCAGGACAGGTAAGACTAGACAGAACCGCACTCAACAAACACTCTGATCTCATAGCCTGCAGCAGCCAGCTACCCATTTGGTTGCTGAGTGTCCCCTTTCTAAAAAAAAAAAACAATCATATGCATAGCCAAACTTCCATCCATTAGATAAAGATGCTTTATAGCCTTTTTTACTGCCTCTCTACTGTCAATACCTGTGTCATTAAACTAATTTACCACAGCAAAACAATGCAATCAGAACAGTTAAATCCACCATAAACATTATGTTATACTTTTACTTCTTCATAACATCTTATTAGCGTATGTGTTTTGGGCTGATCCCCAAGCTGACCGGGCCTTGTGCCAAAATTTCACTGTTAAAAAGCAGACTAGGCTGCTGAATAATGGATGGAAACGGGCTGCATAATTCATCCACGTTTTCCAGCATGGCAGAGCATATTTCACCAGACTCTCTGCCTTGGTGCTGCCCCCCCTCCACCCCACGCCTTCAGTCAGGAGAAGTCATATGTCAGCCACCATGACAGGGGTCTCTTTCTCTTTCAAGCCAGAATTTTGTTTTAAGTGGCGCAAATGTAGCTTTTGAGCTGATTGCACATGTAATTCAATCACGTCTAATAGAGATGCACAATCTTCCATGAGATGAGACAGAAAGGAAATAGCTACTAATCATAACAGTGACTGTAGTGGAATAGCTACAATTACCAGCCGATGAAGCACTCCCATTCCCACAAGCTACACTTGGGACAGATATTCTGGCTGATTCCATCTTTTTATTATCTGAAAATCTGTCAAAGCGATTCAGATATAATTGCACTCGGGCGGCTGAACGTGCACAGCAAATCAGAGTTAATTTTTTTCCCTCCCTCCTAGTGTGTCCCTGTACCCCCTGATGAGAAAGCCTCAGGTTTTAATCCTGTGACGGCCACAGATCATGTCAAAGTGTTCTTCAGCTAAACGCTAAGACACAACAACCCACTTACTTAAATTCAATTAAAAAACCGTCTCCCACCACTACATGCCTACGTCCTATGTCGAGGCATCAGGAAAGCATTACCAACAGAGCGTCGTCTACCCCTACGTCCCATGGCTGTCCTTGGTCTCCTTGGTGACGTGAAGACCCTACTCGACGGTCCTGGCTGACTCGGTTGCTATCATTCCCATTGGGTCCACTTGCCACCATAGCGAAGTGAGGAAGTAAAGCAAGAAAGCCTCTTACGGGCCAAGTGAGCGAACACGATAATCCCCTCTTTGTCTGCTCTGCAACTTCACCTGCTGCTAATCCATAACCTGATAATCCTACAGGTGCGACTGCAACACGCACACATTATACTGATGTATGCATATGCACGTATACATACACACATACTCACATTGCATTATGGACACGCACACACAGGTGAATGTACATCTTTTAATGCCAGAGAACATGAAAGGTCCCAGCATGCAGCAGCTCCCCTGCCCGTCTCTACAACCAGCTCACAGTCTTACATGCATGCAGCGGTGTTCATGTGCATGCTGTGTTTCAGACATGCCATGTTCCAGACATGCATGTGTCGTCTTCTGCAGCATGCATTCACATTGAAAGTTTTTTTTTGCTCAAAGATCCCAGTGCACATCGATCTGTCTTCACCAGCATGGTCTGGCGTCACCACTATCTACGAGCACATGCAGTGAGAGGGTTAAGTCCTGTTCAGCATTCATGACTCCAGGCCCCGAGGAGCTACAGAATATTCAGGCTCCGCAGCACTAATAACATGTCTTAACCTTTTCAGCCAAGAACCAGACACACTCGTGTAAGCAACTCGACTGTGTAGCTCTTGAGGGCCGGGGGTTTGGGAGACCCCTGCTCCTAGACGTTTTTTTTGCACATGCACCTTTGGGGGACTCCGGACACAAACGGGTGGGGCATCATCCAGTCTAATTCGAGCAAACTCACTTTTGTCAAACCTGTCTGTGAGGCGGGCACGCATGGTAGCGCCGGCGCCCTGGCCTGGGTCCTGCAGTTCAGAAGCCTCCTGCCTAATGGTGGTCAACACTAACTGCTCTGAGGCCGCGGCGGGAGAAAACAACACACACAAGACAACAAGTCAATATACACACATACTGTACACATCTAGGTGTCAGTAACTGTGCTGTAAATGTGTTTGCATGTGCCTTTCACTGGAAGCATCCACAGTGAGATGAGATTCATGCCTGAATGTGAAAGATGAAGGTCTGAAGAGCTTCCTGCAGAAATGAACAAAACCTTGTAGCTTGCCCAGGAGCGCCCCCCTGTGGCCGCATCTTAGAAATATCTCGTTTCCGCAATTTATTAGGCCTCTCTCTATCTCCCAAATGGCATCTTCAGTAGCTTGGCAGCCATGACGACCAGTCATTATCTTCCCACAACAGATGTATCGTTGACAGTTGGCTGAGCTGCATGACTCGCATAGACAAGGCACAAACACACTGGTACAAGATGTGGCCTTACATTTAAATACACATCCTTTCGGCTGTCTGACACAATCTGCCAAAACTGGAAGACACATCAATCACAGGTTGTTTTTGTGACATAATGCTGAAATATTTCACAGCATAATGCGCCTTCTCAACCAGTGTTGCTCTGTGTTTGTCAGTATGTGCTATTAAAGACCGTTTGTACCACGCACTATTTATGATCTTCTTGAAGACAAAAATTCATAACAGTTTACAAATATGTTCGTGAACGTGTGAATAAAAGTGACAGATTGGTGGCCGCAGACGTCACAGGGATGTGGCAGCTCGCTAATTGGAGCAAAGAATCAAGAGCTCAGGTTCCAGGAGATTACAATAAAGGCAACGTGAAGGAGCCAGGAGGGAACACATGTACACTCACACCCGAGTAGCATTCCATTTCCATCCTCTGCTTTAAATATAGCAGCGGCAACACAACTTTTTGGACCCTGTGAAACCAAAATAGTCTCCCCTAGTACGACTGAAAATCTCACATCGACTGGCCTGATATAAACAAACAGCGGCGACGGCAGTGTGACTCATTGTGAGGCCATCTGATTTTGTATTTGAATATAAAAAAAATACAAACATGGCAAACGGATTAAAGCAAGAGTAGACTAAAAAAAAAAAGTATGGTGCCACCCTCTGAACTGAGCTAAACTAGTGCTTTTAACATTTGACCCTTTCTTCTGGCAAAAAAAAAGTGTCAAAAGATCCTGTGGTATGTTTTTTTAAAAAAAACAACAACAACAAATAAATATGTGGGAACCACTGGCCTGAAGACAGCATGGCCCAGTTGGCGCTCATCTCTTCTCACAATTTGCCCTGCTTTCTATTTCTGGAAGCCGAAGAGGCATGCAGCCACACACACACAGAGACACACAACAGCAAAAAGCAGCCTGACAATATGTGCCAGTCACTATTAAAAGCCACTGGATGAGACAAACACATGCTCCTCTCTTCCAGGGCAATCCAATACAACGTGTGTTTGCCAGGTGCGGAATCATCCTCTTGTTTAAACATCTCTTCTCTTATTCTGAGATTTTTCTGCCAGAATAAAAACAAAAAAAACTGAGACAGCACAGTTTGTTTCAAGGGGGTCTCTTTCTGTGCAGAGTGCAGTGAGGTGACTGGGCCCAGGATCTGAATGTGGGTGTCATTAAGGTGAGATTCATTTCCAAGGAGCGTTTCTTAGACAGTCACGTGGTGGTTAAGTCGGGGAGGTAATAGGCTGTTCTTGGATTGATCTACAGGCGCTTTGGGTTTTTTTTTTCGTGCAAAATAACTTACATGACTCCACTCAGTCAAAAATATGATGCCAGCAAAGATAGACATAAAACAATAAGATGTTGCAACACAATTATATAACACCACAACGATGACACAGGACAACACATTCCAGGAACAGTGATAAGGTCACGCAGTCATCCAGTCAAGAATTTATATGCTCTTATCTTTCCTGGCACAGCAATCTAAGTTATATAAAAAATGAAATAAAATAAAATAAAAACAAGGCACCTGCAGTCAGCTCCTTGCCCTTGTATTCCACTAACCGGTGCCAACAAAATGAGTAAGGCTGGAGGATAAATACCGGTACAGCAAGTCACTCCATATGCATGCCGCAGTCCCGCACAATACGGTTCCCCGTTATTATGCCAAGCACATAACAAATACGCACGATTCTATACAGGCCGCTGTTTGCACAATAATGACAGGCCTGGTGATGAGATAAGCACTGTACACTGACAGGACAACACATTTAGCTGAGCACATATTAAATAAGGGGTTTTTTTTGTTTGTGTTTTTATTTTTTAAAGCTTACCTCCCTCGCTGTGTATCTTCTTGGCTCTCCGGTTGAAATACATCTTGCTGGTGGTGATCGAGTGTCGGTGTGGCTGGGACGAGGAGGCCGGAGCGGCTTCATGCTCATGGCGCACCGACCGAGCGGAGGGACGCTGCTCCGGGCCCGGACTGCGGCCGCCGTGTCTGCTGCTGCTGCTGCTGCTGCTGCTGCTCGGGGATCATTATTTGTCGGTTGGAGGTGATGTTGTAGAGGAGGACAGCTCTCTGACAGCGAAACATAACAGCCGAGGAAAGACTGCGCTGCATCCGCTTACAGGTTTCAAAATAAAGCACATGAAAATAAAAGCTATTCTAACGGACTTTATTTTGAAAAGACGAAAGAATTTTCTTTTATTTTTTTAAATTATTGATTTGAATTTTGTCAGATCAACATGTTTTTTGCGGGGTTTGCTCATTTTTAGTTAAATGGGCCTGCACACAGGCTAACTGTTCCCACAAAAGAACAGAAAGAAACAGAAAGAAAGAAACTTTCCTGTTCCTTGTTGTAAACTGAGGTCAAAATGTCCAGTTTTTATTTTCAGACCACTTTGTAACTTAAACTATTCATATCATAAACTGTAAAACAAAATAAAAATAAAAAAAGGTAAAAATCTGATCTCACAAAAATGTTGCAGCAAGGGTGCCAGAAAAAAAAATAGTGGATTATTGTAATGCTCAAAACCTATAACAACAGGGAAAATAAATGGCAAATATCTGTCAAATAACGAGTTTTAAAGCTAATTAAATTGAGCAAAGACATGTATAATTTTATGGTTAAACATAAAACAATGAATTGTCATCTGGAAAATACACATTTTTGAACTGAAATATGTATTACTTTTTTTTTTTTTTTTAAAGGACTCAGTTCATTAAAACATTGAGAATATCCTGTAGCAGCAGTGACTAATAAGCAATGCCATCTTGAAAACAGGCAAACACACAACGCTCCAAGTGAATCACCTCAAATCATAAAAAGTACATCAACAGCCTCAAAGACTCAATGGCCATCCAACTATTTAAAGAGCCAATTTGTCAAAATAGCTAGTCTCTTTGTAGCCCAATTGGATTTGCAGATTACATTTTTATATGAAGCCATATTAAAAGGAGCCACACAGCCATGATCATTATCATTATTGATTTCTGTATCTGTAGACTATCATGTAGGTTGCACAACATTATAATTAACTTAAGTGCAATACTATAATCACTTCTTTCAGTTAACACACATTTGTTTTGCTCTTAGTTATTTGGAACTAGAGCTGAAAGTAGTTTGTACTGAAAGTAGTTTACTACCATCTGGTTGAATAACAGAAAAATAAACATTACTAACAACATGTTGATAATCACCTGTCCAGGGTGTCCCCTGCCTTCGCCCTAAGTCGGCTGGGATAGGCTCCAGCTCCCCCGCGACCCTAGTGAGGATTAAGCGGTGTATAGATAATGGATGGATGGATGTTCATTATCTATTAATCCTTTGGGATGTTTTTCATGTTAAAAAAATGCCTTGTTTGAGTTCCAGCCTATAGTTGTTAAGGATTTTAGCTTTACCTTGATTAATGCTATTGTAAACTACATATGTTTTGAGTGTGGGCAACATGTGGAACGCAATCAGTACTACAAAACAAGATTTCAACTTGGGTCATTAGAATTTGAACGGGGGGAAGAAATCTGTGATTTTGCCACCAATTACTTAAATTAGTAATTGAGGAAATAAGCGTCAACTTTAGGGACGATTGCTTGTTGCTGTCCTGAATTATAAAAAAATTAAAAAATAAGTAACAAACAGGTGATTAAAATTTGATCATTAAAATGCTTTCAAAGAATTATTAATGTACTCTTATTTTGAAGGGCAGCTCTCACATTTCCGATCCTGGCATTTGTGGCTTCAGAGCAGTTTGCTTCAATTGATCACAGACAGTATGAAATCAATGATAATGGCTGCTTGGAATCAATTATACTAAAAAAAAAAAAAAAGAAAAGAAAGAAAGAAAGAAAAAAAGATTGTCAGATTTGTTGAATAACTACTTGAGAAAACAAACAACAACAACAACAACAAACACTGATGCAGTTTAACGTGTTGTGTAAACCGAATGGTGCAGATGTCAAATTACACTGGCTTGGTAGGAATAAACAAAGGTGAGAAGTTCACTACATGTGATAAACAGAACTTGGAAGTGGGCTATAGCTTTCTCTTTTGGATGAAATATTGTGATTACTGGACAATCACATGCTCTTTTATTCTCAAGTATTTGTGATGACATTGTGATGTCACGTGTTTACTGCAGCGTGCTACTTCACAATGACTGTTTGATAGAACTTCTGTCTTAAGGCTTTTTTTACTGTAACGTATACAGGACGGGTTAACACCCAAAATCTGATTACATGTCTCGATACTGCAGGTGGAGATGGTCCAAGTCCTCTGTCATTGCTGCAGTGAAGTTGCAACATTCTCCTGGTGATTCCCACTGGAGGACATCAGGTACTCCTCCTCATTTGGACTGGATAAAGAGGAGAAGGCTCTCTCACCTTCGACAGCCTCAGTGAACCAGATGCAGCCGTCCCAAATGACGGCTGGACGAAAAAGACATTTTATGAGAGAAAGATCTTTGAGGCTTTTTGTTTTTTTATATCCCAACTGCAAATACTTCTTCAACAAACTACAGTAAACTTAAATATGAGAGTGAGAGACTTGCCATGTCGTCATTTTATTACATAGTAACATAGTCATCAGAACTTTTAATTACTCTCATCACATTTTAACATAACACATTTCATATTTCAAAGGTGGATTTCCATCTTATTAAATAGGACTAGAATAAATATTCACGTCTCAACTGTTTGCCCACAACCCTCTGCAAGGTGGACATTCATTGAACAAAAGCTTTCTGAGAACCAGGGTTTATTGGGACACTGGACCTTTCCTTCCCCCCCCCCACACACACACATACAATTAAACCAGACATACTTCACCACATTCTCACACATTCTTACGCACTATACTGCATCCATCCTGCAGTTTTGTTTGCGACACGTTAACTGCAGAGATGTCGTAGCTCCTGTGTATTGTAATTGTAGATGGAAAAAGTGACTCTGGTGGAAACACACTAACTAGGTGGTTTTAGCTAAATAATCCACCTGTTCTACACTAGAAATGCGATATCTGTGCATGTTATGTAAAAACAAACCATAAAGAGGATACAGGAATATCATACTACCAACACTGCCTTATTCAGGAGTTGCACTGAAATAGATTTCAACCATTGCACTGAGACAGATCTAATCAAGAAGAAATGTGTTAGTAGATTCTCATCAAACTTTTGGAAAATGTTTAAGTCAGAGCTGAAGCAGGTGATACAAACACCATCAATGTTCCTGCACTTATCTCATGAATAAGGATTTCTGAGTTAACTGTAAAACTATAAAAACTAAAAATCAACTTCTCTGGTTTAAAAACAAAAACATGTTCCAAATCTTCACTCCACTACATGATGCGACTTCATGACACAGCTTATGTCAGGCACGAATCCGAAACAGAAACCGAGAGGAAACGTTGGTTTCAGAGTTAACAAGACTTTAACTGGAGATGATAATCAGGCATGACAATGTAAACAACAATGAACAGCAAAACAAACAATACTGTCTTTCCTCTCCATATTGCACAACTCATACTAACAAGTCTCGATTCCTGATTATCACATGCCGTCTGCATTTCATTTGAATTGTGCTGCTTATATGGCTAATGTTAATGATTTCAAAGTGGCTGATTTTAACGGGTGACTTTAATGGATGAATTCTATATTGCAATTACATGGAATTTAAGGGCTTAAACAAATACTACTAGACGTACAGAATAAAACTTATCTCAAAATTAAATACATAGCTCATACACATCCCAATAAATCATACATTTCCTAGCCAACTGTAAAGGGACACTTTAAAATGGATGTCAAAGCTTTAAAATGGTGAACATTAGAAAAAAAAAACTGAAGTCTTCCTGCTTCCATTCGTAACAGATGGCATGTGAGGAGCGTCTTGCTTCAAAACCTTCAAAATACAAGCAGTGGTGAGTTATTTACAGCTTATATTGATTAAATCAAGTCTAGCAGTGAATTTCAAAGTCCAGTTGTGACAAAGAGACGTCACGTGTATCAGACATCAAAGAGTTAAAGTGAGACTATTCAGCAGCAGCTACAGGAGCTCCTTAAGCATTAATGCCATCTATTGACATGGGCCTCTGAAGCTTTATGATAGAGACCAGTGAACAAGGTCACAGGAAGAAAAAAAAAAAAAAAATGAGTAGCAGAAAAAAAAAATGAGTCTAAAAAAATAAAGTTTTGTTAATTCTCTGCATTTATAGTTTCTGTTTTCCACACGTTTGGTTCAACCTTCTTCAGCACAATGGATATTCTCAAAGAAATTAAACCATGAAAGCGTTATGTACATGCAAAGCCAACTTGGATCTGCTCAGTTCAGCCAGCTAGGAGCATGACAGTCGTGTTTATGAGCAAATAGGTCAGTCATGATGCACTGCAAGTATAGGCTGCCTGCAGATAGGGCAGGTGTTGTTTTCAGAGAGCCAGCGGTCAATGCAATGGATGTGGAATTCATGGGAGCAGGGCAGGCGGCGCAGCTTGTTGCCTTGAGCATACTCATTGATGCAGACACTACATGCACGGCCCATCTCCCCCTCAAGGTTGGCCTGACCATAGGTACGCGTCGATAGATTGTCAATCTGCTCTTTGGTCAGGCCCCTAGGATGTTCGTCATCCTCCTCATCGTTGAGCAAGAAGAAGTGTGCCAACCGCAGGATGGGCAGAGTACCATTTTCTACCAAGTTGTTGGTGTCTCTGCTGGTGGCTCGTCCATCTGTGGTGCTCACTACTCCTCCTCCGAGTCTGGCCTGCCCACTCTGGTCCTCCTCACTTCCCACCAGCCCCATTCGCTCCTGAACTACCCCACCTGTACCAACATGGCCAGGTATGCTCTCACTTGTATGTAGACGACTGGCTGGACTGGTGTTACTATTTGTACCACTGGCATCAGCGTGGCTAGGTGCAACAGTTTCAGAATCAGCCTCCGTTTCCATGAGGGAGCTAAGCTCCCCAAATCCAGTCATGATCTGGCGCAAGATAGAGCGTAGGGCGGTGGAGTTAGGTTCCCCCAGGCCTGTTTCACTGATGCGCCTTAGTGGAATCCGGATAGTGCTCACATAGGTACGGATCCCAGCTCGCTCAGAGCGGGAGATGGTACGTCTAAATCCACCACTGTCACTTTCGAATGTGACAGTATTCTCAGCCACCCGGGCACGAGATCTGGTTCTGCTAGCAATGCTGTCCCGATCACGGTTTTCACCAGGTCGAATCCTTCTAACCTGGAGGTCCAACATGATGGTTGGATGCCGCCGCACCGCTGAACTTCCAGCTCCTATTACATGCGATTCACTCTCACGTTCTCCTGTCTCTGCAGCTGGCTCCGTCAGAACAGCAGGTTCTGACACAGCCTCCCCAGTCTCCACTGACACAGAGGTTGTGCCATTGCCTGGCTCAACAGTATGGGTGGTAGAGCCACTGACACCACTGCCAGATGGTGAAGTGGTACTGACAACAGGTATTCTGTGCAAAGGGGAACGACTTCGCCTTGACACGCGAGACGAAACCCCACTCCCTGCTGCAGCCCTGCGTGCACGGCCACGCGATCGAGTCCTACTGCCACGTGATTCATGTCCCACTGCTGGGTCCTGTGACCCAGACTGGGGTGACACCCGGGGACAGTCTATAGAAGCAGACATATCATCATGCCCCTGCTCTTCTTCTACATTCAGGGCCTGATGTTGTAAAGGTGTTGCTTGATCAAGAGGAGGGTTGGGAACAGTGGGAGGTGGTACTAAAGAGTGCAAAGTGGCCCCTCTCCTCTGAGCAGTAGTGGTCGGGGTGGCCACTGGTGGAGGGAGTGCAGGGGGGCTCATAGAAAGTGTAGTAGTGCTGCTGCGTGTACGCCGGGTCTGCATCCTCCTACTGATAGCTGGGCGGGAGGAGGGGTACGGGGCTGGCCTGGGCGTGGCTGAAGGGCGAGAGCTGGAGAAGGTGGCAGCAGTGCGTATAGAAGGTGAATTTGAGTTTGGGGCCGTCACTGGCAGCTCTGCAGTGTCCACAGTGTCACTATGTTCCCCTGGTTCCGGCTGATCATGGTTGATGTTGATCTCCAGGCTAAAACGGAACTCTCCACTATTAGGGTTGGTCCGACTCACAGCACGCCAAGTCTGGTTGCCACTCTGCCCGCTGCGAGTGGCATTACCAGTGCGTCTGAAAGTGTTCAGCCACTCTAGTAGTGAGTCACCATTAGAAGTTTCTGCTCCAGGCTCAGTGCCTCCTGTTAAAAAAAACAAACAAATATGGGTAAGATTTGGTAAACGAACGAGCATTCATCAAAAATTCTATCCTCTTCTACAGGAAAACACGAAAAGAACCATAGCTATTTTCCAGTGTTCACTTTTAGCAATGATAGTTATAGCCAAGCCATTTCAAACATTACTCAAATCCAACACCTTCAATGGGTCTCCAGGCTAAAATAATAGTGTGTTGGCTTGTCTGAACCTTGCCAAGGCCTGGCTTGCGAAACTAAAATAAAAGATTCATCAATATATGTACTAAATAATGTATTTAAAATGTTTCATAAGCAGTAAATTATTATTGATATGTGCTTGGTAAAGATCTAGCTTCACAGATTTTTTGATTAAAATAACAGTTTGGTTCTCATCTTTTTTTTTTTTACTGTCAAGAATAGGAGGTTACATTCTGGTATTCTGTGATATTTTTTATTTATTTATTTATTTTTTTACATCATTGTTAATGTACAGTCACCTGACCAAAGTCATATGACATCATGACAAGTAAATGCCAGATTTGGAAAGGTCAGACAGAGACAAAGAACTTTTCCCCTCCTTCCTACCTGTTCCTCGTCTCCCTCCAGCTCCTCTCTCCTCTCCCTCGCTGCTACTGCTCTGCTGTTCTCCGGACTCAGCAGTCTGCAAGCGCTGCTCAGTACGGGGCTGCGATGACACACGTTCTTTTGCTCCGTCCAGACGCTGCCGAAGCTCCTCTGCAGTTACCTCCCCTGTGAAACATATGGACATGCAGGCTCTTACATGCTGTAACATCAAAGGGTCAAAAAGAATAGTCCATTCCCCTGTATTTATTAGAATTTGAGACAATAACATAATGTGTATTTTGAAAACTTAGAGTGCGTGTGAATAAGGCTAACACTGACAATCCCAATCAGCGTTTTAAACATTGCGTGGCTCTCCTCACCCGGGGTGCCCAGCAGGTTGCTGTCTCTCATTAGGCGGTACTCCTCTTCACTCAGTTCATTAATGAAGTGATAGTATGCCTCCTCCCGTCGAAGACGCTCTGCCTGCCTCCGCCGTTCGTCTCCCCCACCAGGAGGGTCCATCACCGTGAAAAGTGCTGGCAGACAGATGAGTGAGGGTGTCAGTCAGGGATGAGGTGTCATCTAAAGCTGACACCACAGCTTTACACAAGTGGACATACTCAATTGTCCTTACAATATGTAGCACAAGAGCAAAATAATACAACAGCTATTGTCTATTTCATTCTATTATGGACAGATAAAGAACAAACACTCTGCTCGAATAAAACTGGTTGATCACCGTTGCCAGTCACAGACTAATCTATCCAAGGGCGACAGTTAAATCAACGACATCCATTTTCTATCCAAAGGCTCCACCAGGAAGACACTGGCTAAGGCTACGGTAATCTTGCTAACGTTTAGCCTCAAGGCTAGCGGCGTAAATTCGTCTAATATAGAATACACACAAATTGTAAAATGATTCACTGAAACTGACAGCCGAGAAACATCAAAAAACCACCTAGTCTTCATGTCAGCTAATACTAACCAAGTGACAACAGAATCTACGGAAGGCCATGTTGAAGGCAGGGGAATAAAGCAGCAAAACTGGCGTTGTCATCCTGGTTAACCACCAATCATCGGCCCGCTCTTACTGACTGACACGCCAGGCGTCCAATCAGAGCTCAACAGAGGCGGGACACGATAAACTAAACGGAGGTTTCCTCCATGTAAACGCAGGGCGAAGAAGGAAAGACAAAGAATCTCGTCAGCACTTTAAAGTAATAACATAAACGAGATATTACCACTTAGGAACCATTACCTGCATCACCGCCCAAACACAACAGTCAGTTTTGTGGACATTTCAGCAATGCGAAGTGTCATTTCGAATGCGCAATGCTTCAGTTGCTATCTGAGCGCTAGCATGTTAGCACAACCAGCGTTAGCGAATGGCAATCTGTCGACAGCACAGTTAGCTGGGTTAGCTGACCCGCCAGCGAGCTGCGAGACTGAATAACTCACCGTATATTAATATGACAGACAGTTTTATCAAGCACCTCGTGTACGTGAAACTTAACACTTAACCCTAGCAGACTTATATACAAGATAACAGTGACAGTTAAAGAAATTTAGTACCTGACAAAGCAGCTGTAATATGGACGGTTCGCTCTGCTCTTCCTTCTCTCTCAAACCAAGATGGGACCAGTGGTGCTACATTGCGTTGTCCGTCAGAAACAACCTGCATGGTTATATTAGTTCCTAGGTGACACACCATCAGCAAAATAGCTCACGGTTTGCAGGACTGCACATCGGCAAATAATTTAGATAACTCTTTCCATTTTTACACAACTGTTACATTTAAAAGAGAAATCATGCAGTTTTTACCTCATGCAGTTTTATGCTGACACAGCAGGGAGAAGACCACTTACAACCTACATTTGTCTCTATGCAATGCCTTGAATAATTTAGACACTTTTAAAAGAGCTTTCAGAATGAGTAAACACTTAATTTTACACTTTTAACATTTAAATACTTTACCACTTAAAATGATGAGCTTATGTCTAAAATCCGATCCTGAAACAGACTTCCTACAAGTTGATGCAAATAAGACTAAAGTCCTGATTATTCGTCCTCACCATATTTCTAGTAAAATTACCTCATACCTTGGACAACTGACAGTGAACATGTAGCACTCACCGTGAAACCTGGGAGTATTTTCTTTAATCAAAACCTCAACTAGTGCCATCTACAACTTAGAAAAATGGTCAAACCAATGATCCCCAAAAACACTGTTAAAAAGCTTATGCACGTCTTCATTTTCTCCTGCCAGGACTCCCGAAACTCTTTATTCATTTGCATGAACGATGCAGCAACAGCCTGGTTGCAGCTGATTCAAAACTCAGCAGAAAGACGCAAGTTAAGAAATAACCATGATGCAGTGCACTCCAATTTCCAAAAATAAATAAAACATATTATTTCCAAAATATGTTTCTGCTGTCAGTGTTTACGTTGTGTTTAGGATTATTATATACCTTTATTTTAAGTATATACATTTTAAAAAAATATATCACCTGTGAAAGTTGTTGGCTGTTATTTATTAGTTAATCATGAGGTACTTTCTAAAGGAATATCATTGTAATATGGAGGCTGTAATAGGTTCTTGGATCAAAGACAGCAATGATGCAATAAATTGCTCTCCAACTTTTACCACTTTAAAATCAAAATGAGAACTCTGTTGTTTTTGTGCATCTTTCTTTGATGATTTTCTCCTCTGAAATTCTCTTTATTCAATTATTGTAACTGTCTATTTAATTATGTCTTATCTTTTTAAAGTTAATTCATATTTTAATCTTAAATCTATAAATATTGTTCTAGTTTATTTCTTTTTTCTGCTTGGCAAGTGGAAATACATTTCAATAAGTCTTTTAATTAGTATAAATAATTAGTGTTCATGATCATCTTCTCAAACTATAATAAAGAAGAGTGTCTGGGAGTCTCTAACAGTGCATACTAGGAAACCAGCTTATAAACTTAACATAATGATTTGGGTGAAATCTTAGCCGGTCATTCTTTCCATTCACGATTTTAAGTCAAAATGTCTCAAGTTATAAAAAGTCATGTTTTGTGCCAAATTATACAAAACCTTAATTTTTCCAGCACGTTTCTACCCTGTAGACACAAAAAATCAAATGAGTCTCTTTTGCGCTGTCAAAATATTTTAACCTAAAAAAAATCACTTATTTTGATTTCTTCCCTCTAGTGAAATGATTTCCGTGTTTTTTAAAGATTAACAAGGCCACTATCATCTAAGACAAGACCTAAAAATGAGAATTTACTATGTTTTCTGGTCAGAAGAGAAATTATTGGGGGTTGGGAGCTTCCTACCTCAGGGGGGCATCTTACCCCAGTTTACCCCATTTGTTTCGCATTATAGCACTGGAATATGCCACATTATGACAAAATAGGTCAACTTCTTTTCATCGCACGGTTGTCATGGCTGAATAAACTTAAATTTCAGCTCTAGCGTGGATTTCCACGTGGTGTATCTGCCTTCCCTTTCTCTCTGGCTCTTTCTCTGCTGCAGGGCTGTCTTCACGACGTTTTACGACAATGCCGTGCGCGAATACGCCGTCGTTACCGAGTGAAGTGCGTCTCTTTGGAGCAGATACCGGCTGAGAGAAACGCAGCAACAAGAGAAAGGAATATATTTCGGGCTCGCTTCCACCTGGACTATCACCGAGCACCAACAGCCCCTCCGGAACATTCAATTTGACCCGAAAACTCGATGTGGAAGCTGGGTTGAGGGAAGAAAGGGCCACGCTGGGGAAGGCAACTAGCTGATTTACCAAACCGAGCTCGGTGGAGGAGCCTAGTTGCCTCCCAAGCGACGCTTTAGAAAAGGAAGGAGCGGATACATTCAGCCCGAACAGTGGTGAAAATGGACTATGATTTTAAAGTGAAGCTGACCGGCGAACGAGAGCGTGTCGAGGACCTGTTTGAATACGAAGGATGCAAAGTGGGAAGAGGCACCTACGGTCATGTATACAAGGCGAAGAGAAAAGATGGGTGAGTTGATGACCAGCGAGGCCTCCTGCCAGTGAACCCAGGCCCCCACCTCCCTCCCTCTGCCAAATAAATTTTAATTACTTCTCTCATTTTTCTCCCCTTCAAGTCCACTGGCACTGGAGGCTGGAGATTTATGCAGAGAAATGAGACAACAATGTAAATTGGCTGCACTGTATGGATTCTGATGAAGCCTTCTTATATAAAAGCCCTCATATATTGTCATGTTGGCATCCCCTTTTTTCTAGATGGGATGTTGTTAAGGCGTTTATGATGCATCTATTTTGTCCTCTGTTGCTGATCCACTGTATTTAATTTAATCCTTTCTAGGTGATGTAAATGTAGGATCTAGCAGGTGCATGTGTGAGCACTTGTTGAAGGCATTAGTGGTCCTTTTCTGAGGGAGGATTTAGCTTTAATCGTGCACCAGGTAAATGTATCGCTACACAAACTTACAGAAACATGCCGTCATCCAGAAGGCTTTGTGTGAATGTTCCAAAGTGTGTTTAGTCATGCATATAATACAGTGTCTGTGCAGATTCTCAGTCATCCAGGTTATGCTAATCTGAAGAGCTTCAGTAAAATGCAACTGGACTTCTCTTCTATTTTGGTTCTTAAAACTCAGAACGAAAACAGAAACTTAAAGAAAAAGTGAAATTCCCTCAAGAACCAAAAAAGAGAAGTCCAGTTGCTTTATACTGGAGCTCTTAGGATACATAATGTAATCCATTCTTTGCCATGCTGGAACTTTTAGTCTTTCTTCAATTAGATTTTTTTTCTTAGTTAACAGTACAGAGGTGGCATGAAGTAAAGGGAGGGAAAGGTGGGAATTATGTGCAACAAAAGTCCACAGCTGGACTCTAACCGTAGCCGCTGTGGTTCACGGTTAGTGTGTTAAACCTTAAGGATGCCAGGGTGCCACCCACCTTCCTCTCTGAAACTTTCTCGCCGTTTCCGATGTGATCCATGTCTTAACTGTGTCTGGGCCAGAGCTGGGGAGACCTGAAGGCAGCTTGAGCCTACCAGGCCCATACCAGGCCCATACTAGGCCCATTATCACAACCCGGACATACTGGCAGCCGGAACCACACAAAGGAGCCCTAAAGTGTTTAAAGATGTTTGTGTTCACTTGAGAAGGCTGCTGTTTATGAGACTCTGTGAGCTAAGTTGTGCTGCAGCATTTGGACGAGGCCTGAGGAGGCACAAAGCATGGGTTTATGAGATGATTTAGGCCAGGGGGAGGGAGGGGTTGTAACCAATTCATCCAAGTGAGAGCCAGTCCCAGTGCTCTGTTTGTCCCTCGCCAGCTGCCAGACAGGGCCTGTTTCCTCTCTCCCTCCATTGTTTTGAGCCTCAGAGGTGAGCTTGATTACACAAATCTGGAGGTAATGCAACTCGGCCCCTTCTCAGAGTCTCTGTGCCAGCTGCCAAGTGCCCCCCTTTATGTTTCTGTACAGACATCTCTCAGGGGGCTTGCAGTCTGGTCTGGTGTTGATGTTGCTTTGCCTCTCTCTCTGTGTGTTTGTAGGAAGGATGATAAGGACTACGCCCTCAAGCAGATTGAAGGCACTGGCATCTCCATGTCAGCCTGCAGAGAGATTGCAGTAAGAGCTGCTTGCCTTACAGCTGTCCTTTTGTTTGGTCTGTGATAAACACCTTCATGTCATTCCTAGATGCTTTATGTAATGTCCGAATAACCTTCACAAAGTATTTTTGTCAAGTAAGCAACAGATATGAAATACAAGAACTACAAGCAATCGTGCAGAAGGACAAATTAGAATATCGATATTGTTATTGTGCATACAGAGCATAGACACAATGTCATTAATATAAACTAAGCCCCTCAAAATCAATCCCTAAAACATCGTATGCTAAAAGAAATGCATGATTTGTTGTGAGAGTTTTGTATTTTATTGTATTCACTTTTTCAGGTGGTATTGTGTCCACCTTCTGTATGTACTACGTATGGTAATAGGTGCAGTAGGTTTAACAGGTACTACATACATGAAAATAGGTCATTTCATTATGTCACTGTCATTCATGATTTCTGCATTGAGACTGTGTGGTCGATCTTCTGAACGAGGTTAAATGTTGCAGCTGCTGCGGGAGCTGAAGCATCCCAACGTCATCTCACTGCAGAAGGTTTTCCTGTCACATGCAGACCGTAAAGTATGGCTGCTCTTTGACTACGCCGAACATGATCTCTGGGTAAAAAGCAAACACACAACACACACCGGAGCTGCATGACGCAACTTTTCAACTTTTCTTGTGATCTTTTCTACCTAATATGTCACTTCTAGTAGGAATGCATGTGGATTTTCTTTTTTTCTTTTTTTCATTATTTTAGGCATTTTTTTATTAGTTTAAACAAATGCACACGCTGCAGATTTCCACCCATATATATTAGCATATAATTTAAAAACAGTACTGGTTCAACTAGGTTATATATATGTCCTTGCCTTCTACATTTTTTTAACATATGCGAACATAGTCTCTTTTTTAAATGCACATTCATGATTGCAGAATTATTTATAGTGCTGATGCATATACACATATAAGGAAGGAGACGTGAAATAGCACTAATTATGCATTGCTAAGTCTCATTAAAACACACACATACACCAAGAAGTATACCAC